TCACTCTATCTCTTTGGTGTCAATGGGTATGTCACTTATTCTGTTCAAGTGTTGCCTTGGCTGCGATTGTTTTGGTAGCTGTCATCTAAACGTACCCGAGTGTACTGTAGATTCAACAACTGTTGCACTACATGAGTATGCTTCTCCTTTGAATTAGTCATCATGTCTCTTCATGCGAATGGCCCAGTAGCTCAATGCGAGAGCCTTCTAAGCTATGGATCTGTGTTGCGGGTTCAAGTCCTGCCTGGGCTGCTATGCTTTTGGTGCCTGTTTTGGTGGCTGTGAGCCAAACATACCCGAGTGCACTGTAGATTCAGCAACTATTACTTTGAGTCCCGGAGTATGTTTTTTGGTGTAGTGAGTCGTCATGTCTCTTTATGTGAGTGGCCTAGTATCTCAATGAAAGGGCCTTCCAAGCTATGGAGATGTGATGCGAGTTCAAGTCCTGCTCTAGGACGCACAAGTTTTGGTTTGTTAACACAACGGATTGGGATGTAGATTCTTCAACTGTTACGGTGAGTGAGTTCGGGAGAACCGTGTATCGAGACTTCCAAGATGCTAGGGTCGGATCTTTGACAAAACCATTCCTAAGCTCTATCGAATTTTCATAACACTGTGCAGTTGAAAAGGTGATATTAACTGCTCTGGAGGGAATTGGATGGAGTAACAACGTTCATTGCTCTTTCCGCTTCTGATGCTTTTCTCCTTATATTGGTCCAATCTTCGTAGTAGTATACGGTCGTATAGGATTATCCCATTTTCCAAAATTGAGCGACTGGGCCATTCACAGGAAGAAAAATTGCTGACTGGCTACAAGAAGAAATAGTGTTCCGGGACTAGTCGAGTGCAAAGGTTGATGAATCTGCTGTAGATTCGAGAATATATAGATCCCAACCATAAAAAATTTGATACAGCCCAGGCAGGACTTGAACCCGCAGAACAGATCCATAGTTTGGAAGGCTCTCGCATTGAGCTACTGGGCCATTCACATGAAGAGACATGATCTTACACTGGATGAAGAAGATACACTCCATGAAGAAGAAGCATACTCATGTAATGTAACAGTTGCTGAATCTACAGTCGGGTATGTTTGGCTCACACCCACCAAAACAGGCACCGAAAGAATAGCAGCCCAGGCAGGACTTTAACCCAAAGCTCAGATCCATAGCTTGGAAGGCTCTCGCATTGAGCTACTGCCATACGCATGATGATGACTCACTACAAGATCAAGGATACTAGTGCAAAAGTTGATGAATCTACAGAGCACTCGGGTATATCTGGAAGACAGCGACCAAAACAGGTAGCAAAAGAATACCAGCCCAGGCAGGACTTGAACCCGCAGCACAGATCCATAGTTAGGAAGGCTCTCGCATTGAGATACTGGGCCATTCGCATTATAAAACATGATGATGACTAACTTCAAGATGAAGCATACTCATGTACTGTAACAGTTGATGAATCTACACCAAAGTCTGCTATGTTCTCAAAACAAAACACCATAGACATGCAATATTTCGGCACTGATTTTACAGTACATTCTTTTACTTTATCATCATAGACACGAAAAGAATTTGATCCCAGGCAGGACTTGAACCCATGAACTTGATCCATATCTTTGAAGGATCTTGCACTGGGCTGCTGGGCGATTAATGTGTAGACACGAGTTTACTGACTAAAAGAAGAAATTATACTCCGTGACTAATGCAGCTGATGAAATCACAGTTCCTTTCGTTATGATCACACAACAAACACCAAAAATTCGCAGGCAAAGTTGGACTTCAACATATCCAGTGCTAGGAGAGCTCTCGCATTGAGCTTCTGTGCCACTCCCTGAATACACGAGTTTACTGATTACAAAAAGATGCCATGACTCGGTCGACCCTGTAATGTATCAGGGTATAAAATCAAAGGGCATCAATGGAATTCGGTTTGTACACAGAATTTTCTGTATATAAGGTCTAAAATTTCAATCGAAATAAATGCATTACATGGGAATTTTGTTCTGGAAATTCCCATGTATGTTTAACATAAATGTTTAGAATAAATTCCCAAGTAAGTTCAGTGCAATACGAAAGACTACACCACTGCTAAAATTTCTGTAGCAAAATATCTTGTAAGAAGTTTTTTGAAGTTTGTAAAGCCAAAGAGTATAACTTGTCATAATTTTCGGAACAGAATTATGTATGTGACATGTCATAATCTTGATCAAGTCAATTTTGTATATTTCTAATCCTCACCCTTCATCTTCTCAAAACCCAACGCTATAATGCTTGCTCACCTTTACAGGTGCGCATGTCCAGCACCCTTTCCTCTTGCTTGTTGACTCATGCGATGATGTAATATCGACAAATTCGTATTATTCCTCCTGAAAGATGTGAGGCCAATCGCAAGATTAACGCACCCACAGGTGAGAACTAGTGCCCTGGTCCGAGCCGTGCCGTGGCAGACCCAGAGCAATGCTTTTCTCGAATGTTTTTATTGATGTAAAAATGGACTGGTAGGAATGTGGGCTCGCGAGTGATATGCGTCTTTCTAGCGATGATTAAGAATCTGCCTGGTAACAATCTACAAACTTCCTGATCTCTCTTCTATGACTTGAGCGTGCACATGTGAGCCTTCTGCTCCTCACAAGAAGAATATTGAACACAATGGAACTCGGTTATGACGGCAAGAGTGCGCTGATCTTCATCTGGCTCAGACCGCCATGCACGCTGAGCCCTATAGGTTGAAGAAACTTCATACAGCTGGATCTTCTCCGACTTGCTGACAGCAGAGATATTCAATGAACCATATCTTGGTAACTTTGACTGACTGAGTACTATGAATTTCCATTGGAGTCGGATCCGACTAGCAGACTGGTACTGGACAAGCGTACATGTAGTGCAATTTAGCACTCCTTGTAAGACCGAAGACAGAAACCGATACACATCAGTGACACGGATAGGGCTAACCAAGTCTGACTTATTCATGTATTGTATGGAATCTAAAGCATCAAAGTATAAACGATGATCTTATGACGAGAATGTGTAATGTTTAAAATCAAAAGATTTAAGATCGAAATTACGATATACTTTGATGAGGAATATAGTTATATTTGCATCATTGATTAAATGTTTGGTATAAAATGCAAAAGTGCTGAATTCTTCGTGGCAAAGATTCATTGAGTTTTTGTGGATTGATGTATGTACGGATTAGTGTTTGTTTCCGCTGGTGAGGACTTTGGATACAGCTCCCCTCATGCAAAACTCGTTTAGTGGCTCCACGTAAAAATACCTACTTTTTTGGAAAGGAGATTATCTCTCTGGGACATGAATTACATCCCGCTCTCATCATCTTCAGCTGAATTAAAGAACTTCACTGCCAAAGAGCATCACTGTTTCTGTGCACTGCTGTTGTTTACAACTTACAATTGCCCTGTACATGATCGCAAGCAATAGTTGCAAGGCGGTGGCTCGTGGGAGTTTCAAGACTTCCAGTTAATTTCTATCTTTTCTCAAGACAGAACCATCTCATTTAGGACGCTGGAATGTTGAGATATGTCATTCTGTCTATTGATATAGTTGTCACGTCAAGAAGGATTTGACAATAAAGATTGTAAGAGTTATCATTTTTGTGCAAATGTTTCCTATTATCGTGGACTTGTCCAAGTCCACGTGCCTCTCGACTTGAGGTGACGCTTATTCACGCTTGTAGCTGTGTCGGCTGAGGTTCAGCCCCAAACCCACACGTCGAGGGAATATTCGCAAGTCAGGATGGCTGAGTGGTCTAAGGCGCCCGACGCAAGTTCGGGTCTCGTGAGAGGCGTGGGTTCAAATCTCACTTCTGACATCTGCAGGTACGAGATTTGTCTCCGTTAATTTCTCGACATAAAACGTCGTCAAGATATGAAGCTGATGAGTCTACCCAGCATATTTAGCAAATACATACAACACTATTGATAATATTGATCATGTTCTGGTCCTTCGTGTATTATGGGAAAAATCTAAGGATAATGGTGAAGCTTTGTTTTGTAATTTCATCGATAATTGATGAAGTCACAATTCCTCGGTTCATCTATTTATGAAACGAGGTGCTTCTCATCAACAGATAAGCCGCAGATGTATAGTGATCTTGAGACTATGTCCGGTAGGACGTTGGAAGTGAGAGAACTCTTCTGCTGAGTGAAGAGCACTGCCAGAATCGTCAATGCGCCCGCGCATGCTCCGGAAAATTCTCCATACACTGACAAGAAACACGAGCAGGTCTGAGACAAATGTTTTAGCTCATGCAATCTTTTGAATCATCCAAAGCTTCTGCTGAAATCCACAGGTGAGAACGTTGGTTTGACTTTGGACTAGAGGTGGGAACATGGAGAGAAAGCCCGACGCAGAGTGGAAAAACTCTAACCGACTCCTGTCTAGTATCGAAGTAGACAGTAAAGTGTGTTGCACACAAGGATGAGATATAATGTACTGATCGTCTAGACCATGGCGATGCGAACATACTGAATGAATTGAGTGTGAAGAATGTCCGAGAAGATACTCCTCGTGATCATTGTAGAACAGTTTGTAAGAGTTTGTCTATTATCTCTTCCTCGATGTGGTTCTTTACTGCGCTTATTATCTGTGGAGGAAGAGAAAGGTGCCATTTCAGGTTCGCAATACGTGATCCAACCGTGATGAGTCAAGCTCATCGTTAATTACATCGGTTCTTTTGCTGATATACAACAACTGAGAGCTGAATCGTCCTTCTTTTGGAATTGTGCTTCATGACCCAGAGATATTTTCTCCTGTTCGAAGAAGAGAGTATCTTCACGTAGAGCCACTAGAAGAGTTTTTATATGAAGGTAACTGCATTGAAAGGCCTCACCCGCAGATCCAAACATCAGTCCATACAGACTTACATCAATCCATGCAAAGTCAGTGCATCTTCACCAGTAGACATCCAAGAGCTAATATGTTGATATACTCAATTCTCAATCTCGCAAGATCCACAAACTTCTTGATCGAGTCTTCAAGTATCGCTAAAATTTGTTTATTCTTCTCAATACTTTTAGTCTCGGGACTTCAAAATCCCTGCCCGAAGTCCGGAAGTTCTCTGATACTTCCTCTTCATTCCAGCTGTAGGAGATGACGTTCATTCCACTAGTGCTTTTGGTGGTTTAAGTCCTTCTGAAGGAAGCTCAAAAACCATCGCAGGGCGGAATCGTCGTGCATCCACAACTGGAGCTTATTCTGAGCTTCAGCAAATAAAAAAATGAATGAATGATAAATGTACCTATTCTATGAATCTGAGAAGAAGGCTATGACATTTTACGTTTCCCCAACTGCAGCTGTTCGTCAGAATGATCTAGAGCGTGTCGAGACTCTAGTATGGGCTACTAATTGACGAACTGACATGTTCTGCGAATTTCGCCCTCCGTGTTCGTGAGCACCCCAAGATTTCCCATCTTCACCATGGCAGCGGCGAATTCTGTGAAGAAGCTCTTGCCAGGTTTAGAGAACCTGGTGACAATTTTCTTTCCTACGGGATTGGTGATGAGCGCGGCATCTGTAATAAAAATTCCCTTGCCCTGCAGCACATTTTTGTAGTAAGCACGGTCGAAGGTGTTGGCTGTGGAGTCGATGAAGATTGTGTTGGTAGTGTTACCCTGAGGACAATGCTTCTTGAGAAACACAGCGAAGTTCTTATCCATGGCAGGGTTTGTGTCGGTTGCATCATCCTTTCCCGTGAAGTTGTAGAGATGTGGGAGAATTCCGTTGCAGTGAGTTCGACCAATGGTGTGTGCACCTGTACAACATGTAGAAGCCAAACCAATGAGGTCTAACTCTTGCAGGCAAGTAATACAACCAGTGACGATTTATAGATTCCGCATTGAACAAATTGGAGTTCAGAAGAAATTCTGTTTTAAAGGAGTAGAGGATACTGAAGCTTTCAAATGCTGGTGTGTTTTTCTCTATGAGCAAATCTAGTGCATTGAACCCAAATTGCTGATGACCTGAGAGAGTGATCATTTCTCTTGCACCGAACCCCTTGGCAGCAAAGTTAGCAACGAGCCCGCTGAAGTTCAGCACAGGGAATGGAAGATTTGTGTCAGCCATCAAGGCTGTGGAATTCACTCCATCTCTGCGACCCAAAGCGACGGACCAAGTTGGGCCTCCAACCTATCGATGTCACCAAACAGAAAACATTGTAAGACTTCAAAAATGTTAGAAGATCCACGAATCATATGGGAAACTTTGTAAAATAAATTCAGTGTTGTCAGTTCTGTCGTCGATTAGCCGAGATCTAGACGGAAACGAGAACGACCTTGGCTGTAGCGTCACGAGCAGCCAGGATGAGAATATCTGCGCAAGAAACAACGCCTGGACAGACACGCTCCAGAGCTGCTTTTATTTCGTCGACCTCTGCAACGCCTCTGAGGCCGAAGTTCACATGAGCTTCCCTCTCCGCTTGGTTTGTTGTGGTCGAATTCAAAAGAACAGAGCCATCGCAGCCCTGGAATTCATCACAACATTTATAAGCAACACACCCTTGAAGCGCCCCATGGTACCAACACTTTTTTTGTAAATCTAAAGTCCTGGAAAATATTATCGCTCTGATACTTTTGCAAGACTCGTCTGACAATGTTCACTTTGACTGCAGAAGGCAAATATCATGCTCGCATAATAGCTTTGTGGAGAAAGATTTCTTACCCCGACCCAGCAATCATGGAACTGCAACCTGTTGAAGGCTCCAGCAAAATTTCTGTCCTTGCTGAGGAACTTGGTGACGTACGCATCGACGATCGACGCTGCTTGAGGGCAAGTTTTCTGGTAATAGTCCTCAGACAGACCAGCCGCATAAGGACTCTCCGCAGTGCATGCACACACTGTCGCCAAAAGTACAATGCTCACCAGAAGAACATTGTGGCCGGTGGCGCTTGCTGATGCCATCTTTGCCTGCTGGAAATTCAGCTGCTCACAGAACATCGTATCAGACAGTTAGACATGCAGACAATGAATTGGAAGAATTTGTAAATCCAACTATCTGAACTCGTCAATGAACCCGTCAGAAAGTTCTGTCAGAAACATTGATCTGGACGATCTACAGAGTACTATGTGAATACTGTCCACGAAACTCGTACTCATATCTATCTTTAATAGTGTCGCATAAGGATCGGTACCTGCTGATGGCAATCGATGCAAGGAGATCCACTTTGGCTCGAACAATTGAGCCGGTGATGATGACCTTCTACAAAGTCCATGCATTTATAGTGCTGGTGCAAGCAACAGTTGCTTGCAAATATAGCCATGATTTCTGATCGTGCATGGGATCCATTCATTTAGGAGTGAAAACTGGCCTCGATAATGCTGGCTGAAAAAAGTCGGCATATGACGCCAACTCGGAGAAGGATCTCTCACATGCATGAGTTCTGTATTGGGAGACGCTTGAGTTTGTGTCCAACTGGAAATTAATATAATGCTTGCATAGTCCACATGCTACAGAGAGGGTTGCATCTGGAGAATGTATCCACTAGAGCTGTTTGTCTCGACGCCCTCAGGTGACACAAGGTATTTCTCTTGACATATTAAAATGCAACGTAACTTGTCATGGAACTTGCAGCTCAGTTGTCACATAAAACTAATACCGGAAAGAAGGTTTGAAGGGTCATCGTCATCGTCATGCGAATGTGGCAACTCGTCGATTGAAAAACTTCTTTTGTTTCTCGATGGATGACCACGAGCAATATTAAAATAACAACTGAATGAAAGTTATAAAATGGATGATGATGACGAAAACATTTGACAATGTGTCTAGAGGAATTGATTTTATTTCCTTGTAGCTGACGATGTCCCCTACACTGGATTTTGTTGTAAATCATCATGCCTTCGACTCGGAAAGAGCTCAAATCTACCTTCGAGAATGAGAACCAAGATGGAAGTAAGTTTTGTACATGGGTACTTCGTTCATAGGATGGTCGATCTGTGATTTTGGATGTCTGGATCCTTCTCTGTGCAGGAAACTGATTCTTGTTATAGACTACAAGCTAGGCATTGAGACAAACTGCCTTATCCTGACTACTGAGTTTTTTAGTTTCACAGAACTAAAACTAAGATATTACTGAAAGCACTCATATAAATAATCGAAAGTGCTCAAACCTATCATTAACATTTAGTGGTGACCTCCTACAAGTATAGCTAAAATTAGTGATGTGATGTTGCAGTATGAATTGACCATAACTCTTCTTCAAGCCATGATCTGCAAAAAACCAATATTTAAATATACTGTAATGTTATGCACATATTTATAGAACCAGACATATCTGAGCATGCTTTGGAGATCAAGATTCGAGATTGCAGGGCTCGTCATTGTTTGCTTGCCTGCTGGTAAGGCACGAGCTGCTTGAAGTAAAATCATCCACCAGCAGTATCAATTAAAGGTGGATCACGCGTGCATATTTGGTCCCAACGTACAGATTTGCCATGTCCCGTCATCCTCCGGAATTTCTGATATCTTTGACGATCATGAGAATCAAGTTATATATTTTATGAAGAGCTAACAACATAAGTACGAATCTGGCTTGACCTCAACCTGCTCTGCAATTTGGCTGAGTTTAAATACAGCTTTGAAATTTCGAGAGTCTAAGAGATAGTCCCTGTGGAGAAAGTATTACTAAATTCTCTAGAAGAATCATTTCACTGGAGAGAATTTCAAACATGACAGCGGGCTGTAGTTTCTGGAACACGTTCAGCTTCTCGGGTTTCAACACTCACCAGTTTGGTATAGCAAAGTGAAACTAAAGATTGGTCCGTCATCCATGTATATCACGGCTATTTCATTGCACATTTATAAATCAGAAATTTTATAAGATTTCAAAAGTAAATTGTTCGTGGTCAGATTGAGCTTGGCAATTGCTTAACAATGCAGCCAATACAAAAGTTTTTATTTAGAAAGTTAGCAATATTTTTCAGTTTTAATAAGTAACTTACATTTTGATGTATTGTTTTGAAAACATATTTAATTGTTGAAACTAAAATATAGATTGTTCAATATGTTTTTCTAATATATTTGAGCAGTGTTTAACATAATAATTATACATGTGAATTATCCATGATTTTTTAAATATAATTTGGTACTTAGAATATTACATCTTTTCATAGTGATTTGAATCAAAATTATTTGCATGCATAGTGTTCTTAAGATTTCACTTTTCTATGTAGTCTACTTGAAGTGTGTCGCCCGATTTTGATACAGTACATTGACGAAGATCCGCAGTTTATGTCTAGTTCAAGTCGGCAACAGTCACATATCTGAATTTGTAGTTCTCCTGAATAAAGTGATTCTGAAATTTTTTATTAGAAGATCCAAAGGAACTTTATTCCTTGAAACTCTCTCCAGTCACTACCCTGAAAATGTTCCTCGCTACCATGACCTCGAAAATCGGAAATTGTACGAACATTGTTGTTATATTTTAAGTATCATATTATATTCAAAAAATCATGGATAATTGACATGTATAATTACAGTTTCCGATTCTATGTAGGTGCAATACAATGCAGCACCTACAGAGAATCAGTATAGTTCTTTGGCACGGACGTTCTTGAAGTCAGCTAAGGATGATGGGAGCGGATTTGGATTTCATGCCCCAGAGAAATCATCTCCTTTATAACTAATGAAAGAATTTTCACCTGGAGCTGGTAGAGGAATTATTTAATGAGGCGAGCTGTATTTAAAGGCCTCACTCGCGGATGCAAACATCGGTCCATTATACATCAATCCATGTGTTTATGTGTGTATGAATCTTCGCCACTGGAGATCCAAGAGCTTGTATCGAGGTGCTATCAGTAGACAAACTGGCAAGATCCACAAACTTGTCCATCGAGTCTTTTAGGTGACGCTCGTATCTGTTTATTCTTCTCAACAGCCTCAGTCTCGTGAGAGACTTACATTTGAGACTCCCTAGCCTGAGTCCGAAAGCTCTTTTGATCCAACCATTTCGTTCCAGTTATAGACAATGTCGTTCATTCTGGTCCTACTTTGGGTGGTATCAGTCAATACGGAGGAAGCTCAAAAACCAGCGCAGGGTGAAATCGTCCTGCTTCTCCTACTGGAGCTTATTGTGAGCTTCAGCAAATTAAAGCGTGAATGATGATGAAAATTGAATGTAGCTATTCTATGAATCTGACCATAATGCTGAGAGTATTCACGGTCTTCTGACTGCTGCTACTCCGATTTCTCTTAACCGTGTTGAAACTCTAGAATGGCCTCCTAATTTACGAACTGACATGTCCTGCGAATCTGTCCCTCAGCGCCTGTGAGCACTTCCAGATTGCCCATCTTCACCATGCCAGCGGCGAATTCTGTGAAGAAGCTCGTGCCAGGTTTAGAGAACCTGGTGACGATTTTCTTGCCTACAGGATTTGTAATGAGCGCGGCATCTGTGATGAAGATGCCCTTGCCCTGCAGCACATTTTTGTAGTAAGCACGGTCGAAGGTATTTGCTGTGGAGTCGATGAAGATTGTGTTGGTGGTGTTACCCTGAGGACAATGCTTCTTGAGAAAGACAGCGAAGTTCTTATCCATAGCAGGGTTCGTGTCGGTTGCATCATCCTTTCCCGTGAAGTTGTAGAGATGTGGGAGAATTCCGTTGCATTGGGTACGACCAATAGTGTGTGCACCTGCACAATATGAAAACGCCACACCGATTAGGTGTAACTCTGGATGGCTATACAGTGAAGCTTCTTGTCGGTTTAGAATAGTGAATCAAAAGAAGCGACTGCATCTGCTAGTTTTGAGATATACCAGATTCAGAGTCATAATAAAGTTGTAGATGAATAGAGTCAGAGGTCCAGACGCATTTCAGAAAGTGGATACAATACCTAGCAATGTAATTATCGACAGTTACCTAGAGGATGGACAGACCCCATGAAGTCGTACAGGGAAGTAAAAATGACCCATTCAAAAATCAGTTCTTCAGTCAGTCAGGGTAATGGTGATATTGACCTGAGAGTGTAATCATTTCTCTTGCATTGAACCCCTTGGCGGCAAAGTTAGCAACGAGCCCGCTGAAGTTCAGAACAGGGAATGGTAGATTGCTATCAGCCATCAAGGCTGTGGACTGCACTCCATCTCTTCGACCCAGAGCGACGGGCCATGTGGGGCCTCCCACCTGTAATGCAATGTAGAGGAAAAAATGCTTACCATATTGTGAGACAGCCAAGATTTATTACAAAATTGTTAAATAATTACGCAGTGTTCTTGCTTTCATAAATTCAGGAGAAAGTAATGATATAAATACATAGTACCTTGGATGTGGCGTCACGAGCAGCCATGATGAGAATATCCGCGCAAGATACAACTCCTGGGCAGGCATATTCCAGAGCTGCCTTGATTTGATCTACCTCTGCAACGCCTCTGAGCCCGAAGTTGACATGAGCTTCCCGCTCCGCTTGGTTCGTTTCTGTCGAATTCAAAAGAACTGAGCCATCGCAGCCCTGTAGTGAAACAAAAGCTATTAAGCAACTCAACCTCGACGCTCCCTTTGTACTTGTAATGTCAGGGAAACATTCTTGCACCGACAACATTGTAAGACTCCTCTTAAAATTTTCACGTCAACCGAAGCTGGTACATCTGATGCTCGCATCGAAATTTTGTTGACCAAAGTTTCTTACCCCGACCCAGCAATCATGGAACTGCAACCTGTTGAAAGCACCCGCAAAGTTTCTGTCTTTCCTGAGGAACTTGGTGACATAGGCATCGACGATCGAAGCTGCTTGAGGGCAAGTTTTCTGATAAAAGTCCTCAGACAAACCAGCTGCATAAGGAGTCTCCGCAGTGCATGCACACACTGTCGCCAAAAGGACAATGCTCACCATAAGAACATTGCCGGCGTTGGCACTTGCTGATGCCATCTTTGCCTGCTGGAAATTCAGCTGCTCGCAGAACATCGTACGAGACAGTTAGAAGCACAAATCATTAGGTGGAAGACTGTTATTCCGAGCATCTCATTTAATCAGTGAATTCGTAGAAGAGTCTGTCTGAATCATTGACCTGACCTACATATAGAGGACTCTGTTAGTAATGTTCACTATACTCCTACTCATCTCGACAACAGTGTTGCATAAGGATCCGTACCTGCTGATGGCGATCGATGCAAGGAGATCCACTTTGGCTCGAAAGATGAAGCCAATGATGATGACCTTCTGCAAAGTTGATGCATTTATACTGCTGTTGCAATCAACTGGTACTTGTTCAGATAGCCATGAGTTCTGATCGTGCTTTGGATCCACTCATTTAGGAATGATAAGTGGCCTCGATAATCACTGCAGAAATAGTCGACAGATGAAGTCAACACGGAGAAGGACCTCTTACATGCTTGAGATGTGTATTGGGAATTACTGGACATTTTCTCCAACTTGAATTTATTTAATGCTTGCACAGTCCACACATCACAGACAAAGTTGTGCGTGCAGATAGTCTCTAATAGAGCAGCTGTCTCGATGCCCTCAAGTGACACAATAGTTTCCCTTATGATATTACAAATGCAACGTAATCTCTCATGGAACAGGTAGCTCCGTAGTCACAGAGAGCAAAGGGGTTCTTGTCTTGTGAAAGTGGCGAATCGTGATGAAAACCTGTTTCTGTTGGTTCTCGATGCATGATCGCGAGCAATATTTAAGTATTTACTGCCAGAAAGAAAAGAAAAGAAAAAGGACGATGATGACAATCTCTATTGACAATGATCAGTTCTATTTCCAGGTAGATGACGACGGCCTCGTTATCTTGATTTTGCTGTAAATTATCATGCCCTTGACCAAGGTCAAATCTACCTCAAATTATATATAGAAAGAAAACAATCTTCTTGGTAAGGGTTCTTCGTGCATATTATGGTTCTGAATCCCATCTCTGAGCTGTACCCTGTTCTGTAATGATCAACAGTAGGAATCATTTGTCCATAAAATGTTGGTTCCTTATTATAATATGAACTTCCTACATAGTATACAAATTATTTGACTTTTTATATATACTATTTGAGTTTTCATGTATATAGCGTTTATAATTCAAACCATGACAGCAAATCACGAGTATACAACCAAATGAATACATCGTGTATTTATTTTGTGTAAAAACATTGCAGTGCATGCTTTCGAAATGTGTGATGTCAGGGCTCGTCACTAATTGCTTGCTTGCAGTTAAGGCACGTGCTGCATGAAGATAGGATTATCCATCAGCAAAATTAATTCGAGAGTGGTCGCGCGTGCAGATATGCTCTCGCGACACTGATTTTCCACATCCTGTCATTCTTCGACATTTCTGATACGTTTTGAGGATCATGGTAATCAAGTTTGCATGCACGGTGAGGGCAAGTCAGATTATCTCTTCTTGCATGATTTTGCATTGGGTGTTGTAATACATCACAGATAGGTTTCATGTCTGTCTTGTAGAATTGACGATTGGCTGTTTGAGCGATCCGAATGACACCTTGAAGGACAGATGAGTCCTTTTATGATTTCAGCATATCCTAGTCATTGAAGTGAGCCAACACAAAGTGTTTAAAATACGGATGGAAATGTACAGCTACCACTAATCATATGGATTGTGAATTAGCTTTCAAATGCTTTATATACTTTCTGACTTTAGACCTTGTGAGGATCCTCAACTTCACGATAAGTTTTGTCCTCTGATTTTAGCTCTAACGTTACAAACACTCTCAAGAGTGCATAATCCGATGCGCGTGCTCGTCATCGGAAGAATGTTGAACTGTCAGGTCATCAGTCGTGGCAAGATTCCAGCGCTTCTCATGCGCTGTGCTGTCCATTGCAATCTCAGAGTAAGCGGACAAGCTGATACAAAAAGCTGATACATCGTTAATCATAATGGAGAGCAAAGATACTCTTCGCATTCGCATCAGATGAGTGTATCGAGTGACTCAAGAAGAGTAGGGTCAATGGGAGCCGACAGTTATTTTAGGACTGCTTGATTCTAGTAAAAGCCACTGCGCTGGTTGAAAATCTGATCTGTTTTCAGGTACAATATTCGCGCAAACAAGGGATCATCAAGATGGTCGAGCCCCTCTTTCCACTCGATGTCTCAATTCGGCAATCGATGAGGATATATTCTTATTTATTTATTAATTTATATATACATATCTGAAGTGCATTAGGCATCACTGCGGCTTTAAAGTCATCGTCCGCAAAGTTGGCGACAAGCCCGCTGAAGGATAAGACTGGCAATGGTGGATTGATGTCCATCATTCAACATGTGGACTCAACTCCGTTTCGAGAACGCTCAGCAACTGACCATGTTTCACCATCCGAGCTCTATTTTACAACAGAAGGAGATCAATTACAAGCTCCCAGTGATTAGACACTAGACATCCAAATGTTTGCTGAGGCGGAGATGTACAATAGCTCAATCACGAGTGAGATTATAATCATGAAAACTGGATTTATGAAATTATTTTGTGTTTCATTATAGTAGAAGATTGTAGTCCTACATCAATTTTTATCATTTTAATTATGTGGAAACCGTACTACATAATTAGTATTCATTTGATGTTTGGAAATTTGTGTAAAATTTCAACTTCTCTGCATGTGCATGGGATGATCATAGATTGATTATACTTTCAAGTTAAAAGAAATAATGCAAATAATATAAGCAATATCAGATATAAGCAAATCATTTTAGCCCAATACATTTTCATATCTAGCAACCCTCTATTCCTCATTTCATTTCATTTCAATTTCTTTTGAATTTTAACAATCTTCAGATTTAATTAATGAAGTTTTGGTCAATAAAAAACCAAAATTTTTCATCCAATCTTTAGATGTTGAAAGGCTTGAAAAACTTTCATTTAAATTTGAAACATTTTGAAGTAAAATCATTTTTCGGGTTAATTGTAATACAAATTTTTGTACTTGAAATGTTTGATACTGATATATATAGCCAATTTTTGTATTTTTTAACATACCACTCTAGTTTAGGCTGATGTCGCTTGCTGGCTTTAAAATCAATACATATATTCATCAAATGGAGTTAAATGATAGAGCGAAATTGTAATTTTTAAACTTGAATATCCCTCTTTAATAGAGTAACAGATTGTAATAAAAAAATTATGCATTGTATTATTTGGATTATCATTGTCAAATTTCTTACGTTTGCAAATTGTGCTAAGTATAGAATAATGTTATGGTCCATGTCATTAAATATATTTATAATTAAAAATTTAGGTGCATAAAAAATTGAAAATTTAAGGTTTTCTAGATTTTAGAAAATAAGAAAAAAAACACGTCGATTTCATCCAAATTATAATCTACATTATAATATTTATCAAGTTATTATATACAATCACTATGATCAAAGAATTAAATAAATACTAAAAGATATTTATCAAATATGTATACATATACATTCATATCAATTGGTGATATATACAATTATTTATAGTTTTTAGATTAAAAATTGTATGAATATAGAAATTAAGAATAAAATCCTTGTCAGAGTAAATTATCGATGTATCTAATTTTCTATGGTTAAAACAATTCTAGTCAAGATCATGAAGAAAAATTGGAAAAAAGTCTTCAATAAAAATTTCTGGTTAAATTTAAAAGAAAAATTAAAGCAAAAGTATGTTTTCAAAAAAACATTTATTCAATTTATCTCATAATATTATATATTGACTAAATTTTTGTTGTATTATGTAATATTAGAAATCCAATAGTAAAAATAATCACAAATCATCACAGTCATAAATGAAAGTATGTAGTTCACCCGGGTGAAACTTTGTCTACAATCTCACACATATGTTATTGAAAAATTATAGCTTTGTGTCACAAAATCAATGATCGACTTTTTAATACAGTATAAAGTTATACCTAATCGTCTTACAAGAGTAAAATTAACCTTAGTTGACAAGACCTACATTAACGACTAACAAATTTTTCTTGATACATGTCTTGAAGTTTGTAACTCGTAACAACAATATTATATGTATAAAAATAGCCCAAAATTATATTCTAACATACAATTTTTTATGGAAAAACCTGAAAGTACTGCAAATTTTTTTAGTTTAGTTATTAAAAAAAATAAGGATTATGCATAGTGGGTAATGTTTTCCATCAATCTTGAAAATTTCATCTTTGTTATCAAAAACTATATCTTTATTAAACTGATATATGATGTGAATGTGTTTTATTTTGTTCTCGATCACTTGGATTACTGCAAGATGTAATGTTGTCTGATTATCACAATAAATATTAAGGAATTATATTATTAAGTAATAATCTTATTAATATGCATATTCAGCCAGATAGATTAATCTGATATTTTGGTTCGTTATACATTTGTTTGCCTTGGTGAAAAATTCTCTCTAGAATAGATAACATCATCAAGTGTATTCATATTCCATTTGCAGATTTCCTTTATAAATATCATGTTTGTCTTCAACATTAACGTTACATAACAAGAAATTGGCATTTTTTTGAAAACATCAAACAACATATTCATTTTTTTAATATTTTTGAAGCACCAAAAATTCCAATTCATAGCTTCCAAATACATAGTTCCTGTATTTAATATGAACTTTTCAACTTGGTCATAGCTAAAGCAATATCATATATAATGCAAACTAATATTGCATGAAATTATCTATTGTCTTGTCCAAAAAAAATCTGATATATACCTTTATTCTTTGATTCATCCTTTGATATTTAAAATTTTGCAATGAAACTAGATTCTAAAGCATACTCTTTTAGAAGCAATGTTACAAATTACATTCAAAAGTTATAAAATATTTCAATCATTGAAAATTATGATAACAAAAGTTATGAAACAGCACGTTGAACATTTGATGATGCACTTACTTTTAGGGTAAAAAAACATGAAGTTTAGGTGTTCAAAGCAAAGATGCAGCAAATTTACGATCATGCTCTTGAACCATATGTTTGTTCTTGGTCAAATCTAGCTATCCAACATCCTAACCAAAAACGTAGGAAAACAAAATATTACCTGTGTTAATCAACAAAGGTAATATTTGAATAAAGGTATTACCTTTGAATTTTTTACTACAATAACAAAGTATTTTTTACCACTTTTGATAACAGTGATCAACAATTTTACTGTGCACCAGTGAACAATTTTCCAATCTTGTTAAAAAACTCAACGTAGTTGCCAATTTTTGAAATGATCAATCACACCAAGACCAATAGTAAAAACTTCATTATGCAAGAGAAACACACTTGTAATAGGAAAAATCATATGATATACATGAAGATAAGTCCATAACAAGATTACCAAAAATTTATTCAAAAATAATAATTTTGTAAATTCGAATCACAGATAACTAACAACCATTATTGTATATAATCATAGATAAATTATATTCCTTTAATATTTTTATTATTTCTAAATTTAGTTTCAAAAAATTTGATGCAAAATTTACATTTAGTTATGAAATGTTCGATGTGAAAATAATTCTTTATAAAAAAATTTCCATCTTATTTATAGTAATATAAAGCTAAATATAATCATAATACAACAAAAAATTGCAAGTTTTGAATGGAAATAATATTTTTTTCAAAATTATTATATTATTATTTTTTAAGATATTTAACATGTTTAACATTACATTAAACATTATTTGCAATAATTTATTATTTAAATATTTTTACACATAGATTTAAGATTTAATGTTAAATATTATCATATTTAACATATACATATGAAACGTGAATCTCATCAAAAAATTTGATACATGCGTCAAATTATACTTGAATGTAAAATTAATTTTCAATATTTCATTTTTTTATCTCATACAGTTATATAATAGAATTACTATACCAATTATTTTCAGAAGTGATTGGCATAAACAGACTAGATGTTGATTCAAAACAGATTAAATAAAGAGATTATAAAGTATCTTGAAATATTTTATTTTGACCGTCTTGTGTTAATTTCATATTAATTATAACAGCAATATAATCTACAACAATATCTATACATATCTTCTAACTTAACATGTCAAATACTCTATATGTTTGATAAAATTATCTGTATTATATTTTAAAATCTTATGAATACCTAATTCCAAACATTTCAAATTTTTGTTCAATTACTATTTTAACATATAAGATGAATGTTGATTTATAATGCAGCCATCAAATAAAAAATAATCAAGATCATTCATGTCATCATCTTTTTAGCTAGTGTAAGATGACGAAATAATATTGATGGATTTTTCCTAACAACTTTGAAATCAATAGGAAGATGATGTGAATCAATGCAATCAAAATGAGTTAAAAATGTATTTCAGCTTAAAGAGATTGGTCAACATTCATCTAATTTCATTATTATTCCAAGATTTTTTATATGCCTCACTTCCTTTTTTCTTGTATTAACATGATTATCATCAATTTTGAGTTTGTTGTTGATATTGAAGTAAGATATACAGCATGAAATGTGATGTTGGTGATGGGGTATAAATTTCATAAAATGTGATGCTTGAATGTGTCTAGTTGACTAAGGTTTAGATAAATCTTTGTATAATTTGGTAAGACGAATGTACAGATTGATTAATTGAATAATTTTTTTGATAATTGAATTCTCCCAAGAATGTACATCAAAAATCAAAGAAGTAGAAATTTAAAGTTGAAATATGTATTTATCTAAAAATTAAATCGTATAACACGATGGGCGTGAATGTGATGTGTAATAAATGTAAAAAATTAGAGTATACTACAATATTCAAGAAGTGATATAAAAATCTCTATTAAGCATAATTTATTGCACTTAAATATCTATATTTATAAGCATAATCTAATCAATGTTCATAAAAATAAACATAATTTAGTTCATAAGATAGTATAAGTGCAAATTAAATTCAATCAAAACATGTCAAATGTATACTGAATAATTTTTTACATATTACCTTAAATTATCCTATTGACACCGTTACCCAATGTTTCAGTCTCTTAGCACACCTTCACCACGGTTCTGACCTACGGGACTGGACCGGGTATTGGGAGGTCAAAGACAACTCAACACCGAGTCATCGTGGTGAACCATTGGGTTTGGCAAGAGTCTTGAGAATTGGAAGACATTGATCGATTGAAGAGCAAAATTGTGGTCGGTTTTCAGCGGTACGAACTATTGAATTGTAAGGGATTGAAGTCTTGAGGAGAGTAGTGATCGGAGACCTTCGTTTCATTGCCGTCTTCAGAGATGTCGTACGGAATTGCAGTCAGTAGGGAGGCAGGTCGGGCTTTGGTGGGAGCTTGTATTGCATTGCCTGCAGCTGCGCTCGCTGTTCGATTTCTGACGGCGAATCCCGCTAAACCCTACGAGGAAAACCCAAATCAAGCTGAAATCCTCGAGCCTCCTCACGTTCCACCTCCCATTCCTGCTCACGTGACAGAGCATCATGCACGATCCAGTTGAAGTTGTCGAACGGTCGCTGTGCTGAGAATTGGTAAGGTCATGGTTCTTGTGACGTTTACAAATTGTACTCTTCTCTTTTTTTTCAAGCACATGTTTCTTTGATATGTCGAAGTGTCGTTGCGGCTCCAAGGTCATGCGATTCACTGATCTCGTCATTGTCTTCGTTCCTGTTTCTCCTGTCAGTTCTTCGCATTTTCAGATGATGTGCATTCTCTTGTGTTTCCTACTTGCTCCAAATTGCTACAAAGCCCTAATTGAAAATCCAGTAGCGAATTGTTGAACAATTGATGAGAGGTTAGAGGCTCTAAACTTTTAAAAGCACAGACATTTATGCCATATAGGCCTCACCAACGCGTGCTCTGCATTTTCCGATTGGAGTTAGATGCGAGACTTGACAATTAGGTGTTTCTAGTAGAAGATGGTTAGAACAAGTGAAAGCAGTCAGCTTCTCCTGCTTTTTGTATCCCGTGGAAGAACCATGTGTACAGACATGAAGGGACCGTTCGGATTTGGAATTTACAGGGTTTTGATGACTTGCGTGATTTGATCTGTAGCTTTTGGCCGTCGTTTTGGAGGATGGGAAGTCGTTTCTCGTACAACAAGAGGGCGGTGGAAGTGGAAAGGACCTGTCGGGCTGTTTGACGACTGCGATAGTGTAAACGGAAGACTTCCTTCGAGATCTATAGCATGCTGAGTCGGCGTCAATGTGGCTTCATAGTTGGGTACATCCTTGTCTCAAGGACTTTACATCTGTGCAATGAGAATATGCGATGCAGATATTGCAAGCCCAGGGTTCAGATTACCTCCTTCTGACCTCTCACACGAAGTAACGTGACCATCAGGGCGCAAAGGTTCAGAGGATACAAGGGCATCATCAATTCTAGGTCGGGTTCCGATATGATTCCCATTTTTGTGTCCAAATTAGAACAGGAATCTCCACACTAAGCCCTCAAAAGGTTCATATGTGGGTTGGAAAACCTTCAAATTGTGACTGGGAATGTGAAGCCGTGGCGAGGATCAGAAAGAGTCTGTATATACTAAATAGTATTAATTTGTCGGTGGTGAGAATGAATGGACATCTAGAATGAACAGGGATATTTTAAGCAGCGATTTCTCATGTTATGGTCGCATCTTAGACCTCAGTCATCCATGCTTCCAACCATTGCTCTTCATGTACATGCATACTATGCTTTTTTGGTTAAATGTCTTCTCTCCTATTCTAGGCATCTGAGAGTATCCTGAAGGATTTCTCGTCTTTCCAATCTCTTTATGTTCTGTGTGTGATGGCGTCGTTCGAGTCTTTTAGGATGTGAACAAGTCTCTCTGTATACTCATTTTTTGCAACTGCTTTTATCGGTTCCAAATTTGTATCATTGCTTTTCCTACTTGTGTTCTGAGTTGCGGGTCTTGACGTTATTCCTTCACATATTGCTGTTGGTCGACGACTACGGCCCTGCAGGATGAAGGTCACTGTTTCAATTGTCGAGCCTGTTGCGAGCTGCAAACTATCGAAGTTCTCTCCTTCTCTGTATCATACAATAATCAAATATGGTGTTCCCATCAACTCCGACATTGTCTGCATCTTCGCCAGGCAAACTTTGTTAACATGCTAAAGTTTGCATAAGATTCTCACAAGAATAAAGGTGTACCAAACCAGACTAAGACTGACCGAAAGCTGAGGTCACAGTAGACGCAAGTTTGGGCAAAATAGCTTTCCATCAGAACTTCCATGGGTGGACAGTTTTTCATTAATTTAGTAAATATTCATCGGCAATGAAATTCCATGCAAGATCTGCGAATCCCAGCACTGTCGAGATTCAGACGATGATGCACCTTGAAGGTAAATCTGTCATGCTCTCCGGTAAGGTTAAGGTTCCTTTTAAAAGATGCTTCTCGGTACCCAGCAACGACAGGCTTTTCCACCTGAACCGGTGGAACCGGTTAAAGCCGTAAACCTTGAAACTCAGCTGAGCGCATCTCGAACTACTGAAGTCACTTATGGCAGGCTTTTTCCCCACAAAATGTTCGGTGTGCTAAAATATATAAGCCGGGAAAATTTTCCCGATTCCTGAATGTGAAAATCGATTTTCTTTTTCTATTTTCGATCGAATCTCGTGTGCGCACGGTTTTCAGTTCTGTGCGATGCTAGGATACTAGTGATAAAGTGATGCAAGTTTGTAGACATTTGTGTTTGTTTGTGTGTCAGCCCACCAGACGCTGGCGTAGCTTGAGATTTGCTCAAATCTCAAGGACATTAGCTGCTGACAATTCGTGTGGTCGAGTAAAGCACGAAGGACAGAGAACTCATTACTGTACTTCTAACAGGTCTTCTCTCACTAGCCCAGAGGACAAACCCTAGAACATCGGTTGCAGTCATCTCGGGAGAAGATCTCGCTTGTTCCAACTCATATGATTTACTTCGGCATGTGAGATCAAGTGTACAACAAAATGGAAAAGCTGGATGTAAAGAATTGGCAATCTACGCTACTCCGGTTGATGTCAGTGAATTTCATCTCCGCCTTGACCAGCTCGGAGCAGGTCAGTTCCTTGCAAGTGATTTACATCTCCCCACAAGCGGAGGCTCCAATCGCGAGACGAAGTGATGCGGAAGACATTGATGGATGTGTTGCGCACCCTGCTCGCCGGTTGCACACCTTTGGCGTGGACATGGAGGGCTCTCAGGACGGCGCCGTGGCTGACGACCACGACTCTCTGGCCCAGGTGCCGGAGAGCGATGTCCTCGTACGCGGCCTTCGTTCGGGCGTACAGCTGGTTCAAACTTTCGCCTCCCCCGGGAATGGGCTCGTCCATATCCGACGAGAACGAAGCCCTCAGGGCCTCGGGTTCAGCGGTCTGGGCTTCAGCTCTGGTGAGGCCCTGCAGTTTTCCCAGGTGTCTTTCTCTGAGAGATTCCATCTCGATCACCTCGGCGCAACCGATTTTGTCTGCAATCATTCGAGCAGTCTCGGATGCTCGCTTGAGATCCGATGAGTAGACTGCAGTGATGTGCTTGGCGCCTCTAGCTAGCCGATCTGCAACAGCCTGCGCTTGCTTCACTCCGGTGTCACTCAGATCCGATTCAGCTTGGCCCTGAAGGCGATCAGTGGCATTCCAAGTCGTCTGTCCATGCCTCACCACCACCAATTCTGCCGCGTTCGCTCCTACCATTTCTTTGAGATGTCCCATGCTGGTCCCCACAGATTACACAGACCAGCCTTTTTCTTCTCAGAAATCGAGATCGAGAAACTGAACAAGAATGATTTGGACAATCGATCGAAAACACAAAGACCGCGTCTTCTAGAGCATGGACTGGCGACAGTATGCTGGGCAATCGGTACTGAAAACCAGAGGTAAGAAACCGCACAACAGCAAGCAAGCCACACCAGAGCATAATTCTTCGCACTTCCTAAACATCGTCAGGCGTGACCGACCAAGAGACGTGGACGTTATGAGATTCATCGGCATCTTCCTCCTGGTATATCCAATCGCGATATCATAACCATCACAAACAAGATGACCTAGAATTTTCACTTTATTTTAGGGTCATAGAAAATCGTGACCCCGCGGAACTGTTCCACTTCTTCTTTCACACAAAATTTGCGTAACTCGAATCGTTCACCATCTGCTGGAAGTGACCGACCGATCTAGCCCATCTATATCAAAGTGAAGTTGCAAACACGAGGGGAGAAAGAAAAGTGCGCCGCCCTTTACCATTTGATGGGAAACGATGGGGACTTGGAAATGCTCCCTTCGTATTCAAATTCACGGAAACATGATCTGTCAGGACACAATCCGATGTTCAGTGACGAGAAGCTCGAGAGGACTCGGGCTTCCTGCCCTGGTGTCGAGATCCAACTTGAACTCTATCGAGAGGTTTCATGTATGACTCTCGACTCGGCTGTCAGTCTGATTTCAGCAAGTTATCCACCTACCTTTTTCCTATCTGCGGTTTGCGTGACCTGATACACAGTTTGCTTGCTCTACACCCCAAACGGACTTTGGAAGAGAGGAAAGGTATCTCTCGTGCGAATTGACTCGAGGCCTTTAAAAATTTGCCAAAGACTCTTTGCGTTGTTCCAAAGTCTATGAAGTGGTTTCCAAGCTGCTTGTGGCCTATGACAAGGTATTCCGCCCACCCATTTCAGTGGAGTGTAGAACTGAGGGGAAGAATGCAAGTCTCGTGTTCAATTCGCCCTTACAACTTGTCATTTGAGGCCGAGGTCAGATTCTCTCGACCCTGGCAGGACGTCGTCCATAATGGAAGAACCTTTCTCGACACCCTGTCGATTGGAAGTTCTTTCGCAGGAAGATGGAGCTCACAATCGGATCTGAAACGACCAGTCTGAGAAATCTGCTCAAGTCTCAGTCTTGCTAATCGTATATATAGGAGTGCTTTTGAATGTACAAAATTGAAAAGCAGATTTCTCTATGGACATGCTCTACATACTATCACTAGATCATATCTTTGATGCACATACAATTTCCACGAGGGCTATGGTTTATTATTTCTTGAAACTTATGTAGCATGTGAGAATATTCAACCAAATATGATGATCCCAAACTACCAGGGATACGCACTAATTCGAGTGGATTGCAAATAAAGTTATCTTTGTATGAGGGCTCAACCCTTTTGAGCCATCACGAACACATGAGTCCTATTAGAACAGAGAGCTTTTTTTACTATTGCCACCATGTATATTTGTCATCTATCATCATGATGATCACTAATTCATGTGGGCTTGTGAAATCTAAGGTAGTATCACATGAAATAGAGATCAAATCATAACCCCAAATTTATAATTTGCGGCTAATGCAAGATAGAAAACCTAGCTCCATGGTGACGTTGAAATCGATTTTCATGTTTCTCTTAAGATCAAGAGTATATGAAAACTCTAAAATAAGAAATAGCTGGATCTACTAACAATGTGTAAAATATGTTTAAAGTAGTAATTCACCTGAACCCTGATCTAATTGATGGAGATTGAAAAAGTAAAAAATACTCCTATTGCGTGTTAAAATTAATCTTCAACAAGAAAAAAACCATCTTGAATAACTCTTAAGAATTCAGATTTAAGTATCATACTCTTGTAAGCAATGATTAAGTATGCTCAGAAATCATCCATCACAACCAATTTAAATATAAACTGGACCTTGTGTACAAGATCTGCTTATATGTACTCCTCTATCAAAGTATTATAAATCAATCTATCATAGATTTTACTATATTTTCTAGCCCATGCATATATAAATATTTACAAATCAAAGATATATCCTTAGATAGATAAATATATATAAAAATAATAGTTTCTTTTACTTGAAAAAGAATTATAGAAAAATTTGAAGATCATACGGTGTTGAAACCTATCAAACTATAGAATATCTTTTGAATAAAATTTAATTTTTAATATATTTTTTATGAAGTAAATCGTGTGTAGTGTATTCTTAAAATTTATGAGATATTTGTGTTTATTGTATGTATGGCATATTTTAAGGCAGATGTAACTGAAGATAAAAAATTTAACAATCCATATATGAAGTAGTATGTAATTTGATGAAATAATAGGAGAATTCTCCAAAAGATAAAAAATGAACAGGATCATATAGTGTTTGGAACAAATGTAGTATCACTTGAAATTTAATATTACATGTAGTGTATATTTTAAACTTATGAAATATGATCGAATATTTTATGTAAATGTATTAAAAAAATATAATTTGAATATAGTAAAATATAATAATATTTTAAATAAATGCAATTCAATTCATTCTCAAAAATATACTAAGGATATCATCTTGATTGTCTAACAAATATACGAAAATTCTGAAATTAAACTTTAAAATTCTAGAAAACATCACGAAATTGCTTTTTGTTCATTTGGCGATTTTGAATTTTTTGAATTATCTCAATATTATTCATATAACTTGTAAGTTGAACTTAATGCAACTAAAAACTTTAGAACATATGAAACGATAAAAAAATTTGAATAAATATGAATATTCCCATTTAAATACTATAAACCAAAAATATTTATATATTTCATATCTATGTATCATTAAGATCTTCATATAAAAGAATTGATATTTTACTAAAAAAATTAAACATCATACAGTCGAATCTTGTATACATATTTTTGTTGATCAAACATTTAAGACAGAAAACAATTGAAGAATTTATTACTTAAAAAATTTATCTTTCTAATTAAGAAACTTCGACCAATCAGCTTTTTGAAACTTTTTTTACGAAAAACACAATGAAAAAATAAAAACCATATGTTGAAAGCAAGCCAAGGTGAAAACCATATAATAAATATTGTTAAGATGTACATATTTTCGTGTGATCTCAGTTTTTTTCATACTTTTGCTGCCCATGTCGTTTCGAGTTCTCGATCGGAAATGGAGACAGATGAAGACTGTCGGACGATGATCAGTGCAATTCGCTCCAGTTCCACACTGGTTAGATGAATCAGGGAGGGGAAATTGTTTGAGCTGGGACAACTCCACCTGCTGCTGCCACCTTGTCTGGTGTTCTGTGGCGAACAAAGGGCGGCCACATTTACGTCAAGAAGTTGCAGCTAAGTGGCTTTGGACTTCAGGGGAGGTCAATCCACTAATGCCTCCTCCTGTCTGTGCTGTGCTCGACGTCTCTTCCAATAATCACTCTGAATCACTTGCACCCATCCTGAGAATAAGCTCGAGCTTGAAGGCCCTCGACCTCCACGGTCCTCTTCCTTCGCATGCTTAGTGTTAACCATCTTGAAGCTCCTCGACTGACTTTCTCCAACAACTGCGCGCAAATTGGAGAGTCTTAGATTGGTAAACCACAAGATTTGCGGGAATATCACTGGTCCTTTCATATGGGGTTACTCTCCGAGTTGTCCTGGATCTCTCCTCAATAATCGTCAGGACTTCTACCTCCAGAAATTGGCAGGCTTGCCTTGCCAATCTGAGTGCTCTGTTCCTCGGCGACAATAAAATTAGGGGGATCATTCCACTTGACTCTAAATAAGTAATTGTTCAGAGCTGGTGAGTTAAACGTCAGCAGGAATCGTTTCTCTGGGAGAATGGATGCTAATCTGAGACTCCTGGTCTCAGATGCGAGCCATAATGCGTTCGTGGGAAACCTACGAGTATCTTGTGAGCTAGGTGTGACATTGCAGGTCTCTTCACACTCTTTCGTGTAGGTTCAACTTTCTGAGTGGTCCTCTCGGAGCACCTGGGAGGGCCCTGGAGTTGAGGTCGAATAAGTATACTGGCCCTGTGCCAACATCTTAAAGAAAATTAGCTCGGCGGAGGAATCTGAACTTCATCAAAATGCTCCGAGTGGAGAGATCCCAAGAGAGCTAAGGCAGCTCAGCAGTTTAGAACTCTCATGCTCGGTGGGAACTAAGTGATTCTGTCACTCATTCACAATCACCTTCAAGGTGCAGTGCAATCGCATCTGCAATACGTAACGTGTAAAAACTTGCAGTTTTGGATCTCAGTCACAAGCATATGGGAGTTTGTCAAGAGTCAAGACAGAGGTTCCTGATGCTTAGCTACAACAGATTCTCAGGCTTTCTGCCTGCCTGACTGCATGCATTGGCAACTACTCTTTCCTCAAACTTTCGGACCTCTCAAACAATGCCCTGTCCTGTCATCTGAAATCACCTGGAATTTCTGTCGAAGTCCAAGTTATTACAGCGGGCTCTCCAGCACGTACCTTGATCCTTTTGTCTTCGAATCAGTTATCAAGGATCATGAATCCGGGCTTTGGGCGGCTGCAAAACCTGCGAAGGAAGCATCTAAGGAACCACAAAACTCTCAGGTCGATCACGGCAACCTCTCGTCAACGCTGCAGCTCTTTTCTTTCTAAACCTTGCCAATAACTGGTTGAGTGGTTCCATAACTCAAAGATGAGCTTCCGATACCGAGCTCCGACTTCATGTTCAAGCTCCGACTTCATGTTCAACGTGTCCTGCAACGATCTGAGCGGGCAAGTCCTCAAGCATACTCATTCTTCACCAACGATCTGAGCGTGCAAGTCCTCAAGCATACTCATTCTTCACCTTCACCGTTTCTAAGTAATTCCTACTTATGTGGGTATCCCCTGAAAACTTAGAACCAAAATCTCTTCGTCTTTGATTCATTCGGAGAGATCCATAAACAGAAGAACATAGTCCATTCCAGGATAAAGGTCTGTACAATATTCCTCTCAGCCTCTGTATCATTACTGTTTGAGCTTTGGCCTCCTTTGCTTCCTGGCTACTTTTTGATAGTTTGTGAGGTACTACCACCCCATACTGTTCCACCTTTCGTTGGCAATATTTGTAATTCGGGATCTCTCCACTAGGCTACTAACGAGAGATATACAAACATACATGCACTCAACTTGAACATCGACAGCAAATTAGAGAAAAACAATTCCATGTCACAAACTCAATTGGTTGATAATACTCCCAGTAACTGTTCTCCGTTTGCTTCCCACATTCTTTCTTAATATAAAATGATTTAAGCACTGGGACAGTCTCATGCTGGCCTTGAGATTAGACGAATCTGGCATATGATCCGAAGCTTATGACAAAGTCAAACCAATGATCCATTCAGAAGATCTTTTGTAGGGTTGATTGGTACGTGATTGAGCAAAAAGCCTTCACGCTGCGTAAAGAGACTTTCTCGGTTATTGTAAATCATGCGATAAAGCATTATGCTTGTAAGAAGGACAAATGTTGGTAAATGTAGTTTGGTCTTTAGTTGCGTTAACATAGTTTTTAATTTTTTTTTCAAAAAGAGTAAGATTGAGGAGTAGATGACTAAGAATTTCAAACTGTTAGTATAAGAATACTTCAAAGTACATTAAATAGTAGATTCGGTAGTAGATGCCAAGTTAGGAATAGTGTAATCCATATTACCTACCTCTTTTTTGAAGTTAGTGTTTTTATTTGTAGGCAATAAAGTTGAATAAGATGAGTTATGATACACTAAAGTAGATTATTCATAACTTTCTCAATTAGTGATGATTCAACTTATGCAGGATTTCAATAGATAGATCTCGGCGTGCTTGTTTCAAAGAGCTCAAGAACACCGGGAACATATGAAGGAATCCTACGTTACGAGTGGAGGAAGCGAAGGACATGGAAAGGCGAAGGCAAAGAAGTGCCTTCGAACTTAGGCTAAAACACCTTCAGCGTTATAGCAGAAGTGACTTCGTTGAAGGAACTTCGGCGTAGAGAAGGGCGGCGCCGACCGAAAAGGAAATTTCAGCACTTGTACCACCAATTCGCACGCGTTCATGATGCGGTTAGGAGGTCAAAGGACATTAGTAGAATCATGAGTTACTCGCCAATATTTCGAGAAAGTGCATTAGCGAATTCGGAGCTCAGTGAGGATCGCGAGTGAGAAATTGAGAGCGTAGCAATGAAGCGAGCTTCAAGACTTTGATTGTTATCGTTGAAAATACCGGAATTTGGATTGAGAGTGTATCGTCAAGAACTGATAACTGCCAAGGTCAATTTCTTGTTGTGCGATTGAAATTGGATTTCCGCAACAATTGTGAAGGAGTGGCAGGAGGAACGCGCATCGGACACCGATGTACTTCGTTGCAACCTTGAGAGTTGGACAATTGACCACTTGGTTCAAGTCTTGGGGCCGTGTGCAGGTGAGGAAGACGATTACACCTACGACTACTAAAGCGTGAAAGTGATCCAAGTCAAGGAGAAGACATTTGCAAAGTTATTCAAGAGACCTCGCTCGTCCAAGAACGGATGGCGGACTATAGAGTATTGCAATTGAATGAGACGCAATGTGACGGTGGCACTAATGCAGATTCTGCGGTCTTCAAGAACAACATACATGGCAACAAGGCAAGTCAAGTTTGTGACGGTGGCACTAATGCAGATTCTGCGATCTTCAAGAACAACATACATGGCAACAAGGCAAGTCAAGTTTGTGGAACGCGCAGTGTTGGGGAAGCCAATTCTCTGGGCTCTTATCTTCTAGAGTACATACCACATGAACGTCAATGACATGTTCGAAAGATCGATGAATTACTAATCATCGTCCTTCATTAACTTCTATCGAGGTATGGTTTGCTGACTGAATCAAAGCAACAAAAATTTCCGCTCAAGAGCAAGATTGCTGGATCCAATGACGAAGTAGTGCTATGAGGTAATGAAGTTAACATCGAGGACGACATTGAACCTACACCGCCTTTGGTCAAAGTGGACAAGTCGGAAGAAGACATTGAGGAACAATCAACGAGGAAGCGACTCAAGTTGCAAATCTTTTCTGTTTTGGAGGTAGTGGATTGACCAGTGAAATTGTGGACCAGGAGACCAATTCCTACGCAGATGAGGACAACGACCACGCATTCTCATAGTAAGATGAAGGCACGACACCGACAGATAGAGGAAGATGATAGTACAGAATGTAGCGAAGCAACTTCATAGCATCAAGTGACTTCGGCGGAATGGGCTGAAGTGGAAACGCATCAAGCAAGAACAAAAGACAAATGAACTTCGAAATGACGATCTTCGGACGTGTCCATGTCTGGGCCGTTGGAGGAAGGCAAAGAACGGGAAGATGAGAGCGATACGGAGATTTTGGGTCAATGTCTTCGGCCTTCATAACAACCATTAGCGCCTTTGGCCGAAGATCTTCAGCCTTTGGGTAAGGTAACTTTGGATGTGCCTACAGAGTTGGAAGAGCCGCCGGTGGAGCCAAATTCGATCAAAGAACTTCACTAGCGAGTAGTGGCGGAAGTGGAAAGGACTGTTGTTGAGCAACCGACGATGCGTTCGTATAAGGTGTCTTTGGATACAGTCGAGTTTGACTGCTGCGAGGGGACTTTGGTCGAGGAGCCGAAGACGGTAGAGTTTAGTCAAGATGATCTTTGAATGATATGATAGTTCTCTTAGTCAAGTATTAAGATGGAAAGATGGCAAAGTACGCGGAGCCAGAATTAGCAAGATCCTATGTAGAGTTAGTGCGCAGCAGGACGAAGGCAAAGGTGGCAGCAGCTGCAGAGGTATTAGAAAAAGTTCCGAGCTTAATTTCATAGTGTGCGATCATGACAGTTACCTTGCAGTAGCGGGAAGAACAACTATGAGCAAAGGAGTTTGAGTGTGCAGAACTTCTAAGAAGTCTATGAGCTAAGAAGAGACTTCGCAAGGGGAAGAAGCTAAAGTGCAAGGATCTTCGGGTTGATATTAACAATGCGTGAAAGGTGGCAGTAGACCTTCGAGACAGATTGAAGACGTCTCGAGTCGCATTTAATGAGGAATCTTCTCACGTGGATGAGCTGACGGCGGATCTGGTGGCACTGTATCACTCATAGGTTGTCGAATTGGCTCGTTGGATGCAAAAATTGACTGATTGCGAAGCTGTCCAAACTTTGAAGTTAGAACGTGGGAAAAAGTTGGATGCGGATTGTAGTAGATTGCAATCTCAACAGCCGGCAGTTGAAAAGCAATTGGTCGCGGCTCGAGCAAAATTGATGGAGATAGATACGACTGTTTAACAACTTGAACAGCAGACGTATGTTGCGTTGCGTGCAAAGATAGAGCGATGTTTTTGTGATTACGTGAAATGGGAGATTCATATCACAAAGTAGATGAAATTGGATTTGCTGGAGCGTCGATTGAAGTAATTGGGAGCGAGCGGAGCCGTAGTACATCGAAAGTTAGGTAGAATGGTCAATTCGTTCATTTCCGATTTAAAGTAAATGAAGTAAAATCTAGAGTTAGAGCTTTCAGCAGTTTTGAGTTAGAATAGGAAAAGACACTAGATTTGCGGATGTGGTAACTGCCGCATCTGCGAACATCGCACCTGATGTGGATTCGCAGGTAGCGGATGATGCGTCAGAGGCCCAAGGCTCTGCCTTCGGGGGGTTTTTCCATGAGTCATTTTTCAATCGTAAGTTTGCATTCTTCCGCACATTCGTGAGTTGAGAGCTTTGTCATAGTGTGGGAGTGGCTTCAATTTGTCAAATATACAGCATCTGAAGTAGAGAGTATAATTCGGATGTTCTGGGTGGTGCATAATGTAGCTCAGGATTTAAGCAAATCTATACATTTGATGTTTGGTGTAGCCGGCTGAGCGTGTAATCTTGAGAAGTTTTCTCCTCTAGATATCAATTGCAAAGTCGCTTGCGACTTCTGTAGTGTCTATTGGATGAATTTTAGAATTTGGATGTAATTTCACCCTGCATTTGTATCACCTTCGGCCTTAGCATTTGCAGTTGCTTCTGGGAGTGACATGTGTCTTAGAAGTAAAAATTTTCAATAGAATGTTGATTCGTGACAATAATTGAATCTCTAGTGTTGTTTCTGGCCTCATGGTATCGGATCTTTACCAGTATGTTCATTTTGATATTTATCTGTTATTACATTTAGCAGCCCTCTATTACTCCTACGATGTGCGACGTTCTCTCTCTCTAGCTGAAGCAAAGAAATTTGAGATCAGTTGAAGTTTCAACATATAAACTGTGGCATTGAAGAAACTTTTAAGTGGATGCATTATCTTACTCTTTGTTAAAAACTTCGCTTCTTTCATGTGAAGCTTTTCCTTGTCTTAGCATATCATTCCATTTTGAAGTAATTTTTCACTTTTTGATTTTTAAACCTAAGTTTGGGAGCTTTGTTAGCTCCAACCGCGTTCATGTATTACTCATACTCATCACAAAACCACCGCCACGATCTTTTTCTCCAGTGCTACTACACGTCAATCCACAAGCGTCCTCACCATTTGATTTCTCGAAGGTGTGTTTTGGAAAAGTTACAATAATAGCAATTGAACAACTATCCTTTAAATGCCAAACAAAACTACCTCTCGTAGAAAATCTTCATCATCATTCTACAATTGATTGATAGTGATGTTTTGAGTTCGTTTTATTGCTGGTTTTATGTAGTTTTGATTTTCTATGATGTTAAAGCTATCAATTTGCAATCAAAAATTATTAAATTGATTTGAATTGAAAAATAAACCTGAATCATAGTTATTAGATTAAGTAAATTTTCTCCAAATATGATAACAAGTCCAAATTATTTCAAACATTCACTCAATTTCAAATTTTATTTAAATCCCAATTATTTGTGATCTTATATTTTTTAAGTTATTCAATTATTAACTTGGTACGTATATTTTTCACATATGTTACAAAGAATGTAAAAAAATTCACAAATTTGATCGAATATATAACTAACATAATATCTCAAAAAATTATTGTTTTAAGAAGTCAAATAACATCTGATTTTGTTTTGAATTTGAACTTGAATTTGAAAAATAAATATTTTCTTTAAAATTATAGATTAAAATATATAAAAATCAAATTTTCAAAATTTTATATTATTTAAAAATCTAAAATACTATGAAATTATAATGCTCTACAAGTTAAATTATACTTAAAATTCAATGATTGAACTATGATCAGTCAAATATGCATATGTTGTTTTGCAAAAAAATAATTTGAATATTAGTGTTGAAAGACATTCAAATTGATACATCCAAAAGACTAAATTTTATATTGAATCAATAAATTACACAATTATGTATCAAGTTATGTTTCATTAATAAGCTATAGTATCACAAGTAATTGAGACTATAAATGTATATGCAAAATTCATCACTTTTAAATTATGTTGTAAGTGATTTACACATTATAGTCCAAAGTTATAGTTTTCAAGATAGTGGATGTTGATCACAAATAGAGTAACTATCATAATGTTAAACAATTATATTAAGTTCATTCCATACAACATTCAAGTTTCATCTTGAAACAAAAACTTTCAGTATCTATGCTATGTATTATTTTTTTTTCATATGTATCATGGTTTAAAAAAGCCAAGATATTCTTGACGCCTCAGGGGAATCCAAAAGAGAAAAGTTTGAACTTGCCTGTCACAGTCATATCAATGAACTTGAAGATGACTTGTGTCTATCATATTAAACCAGTAACTTTGAGACAACAAACCACTGGAAGGAAGAATTAGTGATATTTGCTTTATGTTCACTGTGAACATACTCCTCATGAGCATCCAAATTTATCTAATCATAACTGTATTTAACTATCCCACATTGAATTTTAACAATTGCAAGGTAAAGAAGCCATAACACAGGATACATGGGTGCTCCATGCAACCTCATGAGAAGATATGAACTTTTAGCGAGCACAAAGACCAAAATGAAACATTGAGCACTGAAATAGTGAAATACATGCCCACATAATTGTCTCTACGTGTTTAGAATTCCTCACCTGGAACGTAACGAAGCACTCCTTGGTTACGACTGGATGAGGACGAATTTCCATCACAAGAGAGAGTGGTTAACAAGCGATTACTGAAGTGCTATTCTGACGAAGTGAGTTTCCTAAAACTGTGAAATTCCTACTGCATAACGCGTCACGAGGACAGATAAGATATGCACCTGGCAGTGTCTAACACGACGCCATAACAATGTTTCCTGAAACAATTGTGAATGTTCAGAGACATTCAGCTTGTCATTGTCTTGCAATCCAAACTCCTCGAGACGTTCTCTAGTAGTGGTCGCCGCCTCTGCCGCCTGCGTGACTCGACAACTATGCCAGGAGATGGCACCACGTGCCTCGGAGAAGCACCTCCAGGGGCTCTACCAAGTAAGCGGATAGTTTTGTCTCCAAGTGTAGGGTCCGAGCTCGTGGAAACACTTGTCGGCGCCTCGAGTTCTTCATGTGAGCAAGAGTCGGATAAGGTTTTCGGACTCGCAATCCGGTGACGAACGCAAACCCACCAGCTGGAAAGTGGACATCCTCGCATGTGAACGCAGTTCCACAGGAATCCTGTTACGTCCAATACAGAGCAGATAGCCTCTGAACGTCGTCGCCCGCCGCGCTGTGCGACGTTCCCCAGCGCCATAGGCACGCCCCGAGGAACCACAGGAATCTCCCATCGACAGGTTCGGACGTAAAAATCTCTTCCATCAATGGACAGTGCAGATGCTCTGTACAAGTACATTGAAGACCGAAGCTTCTTCCGAAACCTTGGCGACTCTCTCGTGCGCAGTCAGTCCGGTGTTGCAAAGTTACTGCATCCTCTCCGGAGCTCATCGCCATCATGGGATCCCCGTTTGTTTGTCTTTTGCTTCCGGTACATGAAATTCTTACCGCCCCTAAGCTTCGTGTTCAGTGCATTCATTCCACAATCCTCGTGCACGGCCGAAGAGCTCTCTTTCTCTCGAGTGCATTGTAAGCCCCTACCTGAGCAAGAGTTTAGCTAACTGAAATCCTCGAGCCGGACAGAGCCTTTTTTATAGGGTCTCAAAGGTCATTGTGACTCTGGAATTCACAGTATTCGAGTGGGCGCATTGCCTACAAAAGCTCACAGCTCTTCATTGGTTTGCACTCTTATTGCAATCACCGAGTGGCCCAAAAGCACAGCTATAGTTTATCCTTCTTATTTCACTACTTCTTGAGAGTGGATGGATCTAGGATATAACCCGACATAGTGATCATCAATCAGTACAGTCTGGAAGGGACTTTCAAGTTCATGACATTCCTCCAGGATCAAAAATTACTAACTAAACAAATCAAAATCTATTTACAACTTTCGTGGCATTTTACTGATTATCTTGCGAGGATGAACTACATTATTTTGCTTATTGTCGCCATTCAGGTTTTGATGCATACGCATATCCTATCACACTATACGTTGCTTACACCAGAAGATTTAGATTGTCATACATTCACTCAGATGTTTAATTACTGAACGAAAATCATCACCGTAATGTAAGTTAGAATGTATTACTGGACATAACCATCTGGTGCCAAAAAGATTGCTATTTTCTAACCATTCATATGAAAATTTTCTCAATGGGAAACATAGATAAGCAATCAGTGAAATATCATATATAACTCTACTATCAAATCCAAAATAAAACTCCAAATGTCTTGCAGTAGATAAAGCGTTTTCATGCGTTGCATGAAAATTATTAGTTGTAACAAAATTGAAAAAATACTAATTTAAAAAAATGGATGATGTGAAAGTATATTTTCAGAAGAAAATAACATGTGAACATAACAATATATAAATTTCAAAAATATATATTGCTAAATTTTTTTTGGACATATGATATGCCAACTATATTTCTCAACATGATCTAACTGTAAATTTTTTAGATCCACATATATTTACATTTTCAAACTGTCACAAAAACAACAGAAGTTTTGCAAATGGCTCATTTAATATTATACATTACCTATCTTTTGTAGAGAAATCAAAAGCACACTTTTTCCCTCTTGAAAGAATTATACATGGAAAAATATTATATAAACATCTCTTAACTTCAAAGTTATGAATCATCAATCAAACCTGAAATGTATCTGAAGTATCTTATATTACCTACAGATTTCAAGCCTTGATAATCATGAATTCGAAAAGTTTTCAATTTAAAATTAGCAAGTTGAGTCATGAAGCAAAGAGAAGCTGAAATTAAGAAGACATTGGAAAACACATGAGAAGAAATCCCAGAGTTAGATCATCCATGTGTAAAACATCTTGAAATAAAATGTCTCTAAATACCACGTTGCAAAGTCTTGGAAATCCACTAGCACATCACAATCTGAATTACTTTTAAAGCAACAAAACATTCTCGCAAACCTACAAGCCAGAAGCAGACGCAATAAGGACCAAATCTTACACTTTAATTAATTGACCCTAATCAACACGGATCCTTGATCCATAAGTTTCATCATAAGACTTCTTATGGCAAGACAAGAGCAAGTACAATAACAAAAGGAAGCAATACTGTCAATCTTACTTCCCACATCTTGTATGTATATAGTGTGACATAGAGTTAAACAACCCCCTGAAGAATATACTGATGTGTGTAAGGCTTTGACTATACGACAGTTTTTTCCTCTGCTCATATCTAATTGAATACATACATGTTAAGGTTTCAGGATTTAATTGAGGCCTTCATAACTATGTAAAACCCAGTTTGATATATTTCAAAGGCTTTGGCCTCTGAAATATGCAGATTTTTGTGGACAACTAGCATTTGAAACCTTGAGCTTCGTTAGGATAATTTAATAGTTCGAATCCGAAATTTGGCAGTCCCTGATTAGATACATAGCCGCATTGGATAAGCACATGTAAAGCCTCATGTTCTCATACATGACCATTTCTTTTGAGCGTTCCACATAACTATGGATGTCAGTAACATATGCATGACATATAGGTTTCATAAAATAATTCAATTCACTTGATGAATCCATTTTAGAGAGGTGACTCTGCTGAGGATTGACCCTTCGCATCACATAGGAAAAAATGATTAGTCATGAGGAGACGCCTATATTTGCAGTCAACCTGAATTTTTTATGGACGTCATGCATTCGAAAAATTATTCAATACATCTACCATTAAATAAACACGTGTGATTTTACAGCTGATTCGTTTAGAGGCAACTTGGGTGAATAGGTGGAACCCCTCATCAGGTCAACGTAGATATATTTTTCTCTGTAACAGTAAATACATATTGGGTTGGAGAAATGTCAAAAGGTACGTGGGAAGAAACTGTGCAACATCCATGCGTAAACTTAGAGAGATGAAAAACGCTGCTATTTATCAATTTATAGTCCAATGAACCTTCAAGCGGTCAATGAAAGATTGCAACAAGTGTAAGTGGTCAATTGTTCTAGACCATTCTCAAAACGAATCAACCATTGACATTGTGTTTGTTAATCCCGTTGACTCCTTCTGTCTCTAACCTACCCAACATACTTTTAACTTTGATGACATTGTGAACACTCGTAGTGTCCTGGAAAAACTGTTTTCATATACCTCTTTGTAGAGATAAAGAAATACAGCTAGTAGCTAAAAGTAAGCTCGAATTATTCGTATATAATAGACTTTTGTAAATTATCGAGACTCTATTCGTGTGAAGTATCCACACTCTGAATTATCTGCAATTCTTTTTTTATATTATTCGTTTATTATTCAGTTCATAATGTGGCGGTACTCATACATAATAACTATTCAATCTCAACTGAGACTAAACGTGGATGCGTTCTCATGTTAAAAATTCTCATGGATTGATGTTTAAATTTACATATGATGTGAGAATCTGCTCACAAGAGGATGTGATATTTTTCCTTTTTTCTCAATCTTGCACCTCGTGCTAAGTTATATTCCACACGAAAAAAGAAACAGATTTGAATCCAAAATTTGTCGATGATTTCAGTCAACGCTATTGTTTACTGGCATACTTAAGTTGGCTTGTCGTGTGGAAGACACAGACCACGCACATGAGTATTTTGGGAGGATATATTCCAGCTAAAGCTGAGAGATATTCTACTGGATAGATGCACAGTCCAGCATGAGCCCCTCACTTCAACAACGTGACAGAGCAGTCGAATCGTCTTTCCTCCATAACTGCGGAACGAAGTTTACTTACGGCAGAGCTCAGCGAAGAGTGGGGTGTCATAGAACGACACGTGACATGGGACAAGTGGCCGACACGCTCTGTGGGGCGAACGAGGACGGCAGTTCAGGAGAACTATCCCGCAAGGAAGAAACAAGCCCCGGGCTCGTCCCCACGTTTCCTCGTAATACAACGACATCCTGAAATCACCAGGTCAGCCCTCACAAAACCATCCATCCATCCACCTGTCAAGCTCGGATTGGCCACTACCAACTTCCGCAAGCGGAAGAACTCCGCGCTCAACAACATGCTCCAGAATGGAATCAACGGATATCCAGCCCGTAAAAGCCTGGCTCCTCCCCGTTCTACGTCCGTTTAAATCCACCGGACATAACTCTCAAACCGGACGGACGCCCGGAAGCCAACACAGGCGGTCCTTTACCCGAAGTCCAGTCAAAACCCCAACGCCGAATCCACGGGTGGTGAGGTTTGAACACCAGCAGAGTCAGTTGGCCCGCGCCATCCATCCGAAGCTGCCGATCGATCGCGGAGCGGAGGAGGAGGAGGAGGAGCGTGGAGACGATGGAGGCAGCGATCGAGAGTCGGGACCGGAGGCAGCGAGTGACCGACCACCGTAATGGACGGGGTCGACCCCAGGGCGCTGGAATTAGCGTCCCGGAGGACAATTGACTCGGTGGACGATCAGCCGCAGTGAGCGGCGCCACTGACCGACTGACTGACGGACTGACTGCAGTCGGTTCCTCCCATGGCCTCGAGAAACTGACGGGGAATTATCTGGATAAGTGGCAAGGCCCGGCAGCAAAACCCTGCGTTCTGCGCCATCGATAGCGATCGGCTTCCTCCTTCTCTCCCTCCCTCGCTCCCTCCCTCCCTCCCTCGGGGATCTCTGTCCCTTCATCTCCTCCAGACTGCAGTTAGTGTCGCTCACTCGCCGGGCGGGCTCGCTGTGGTCGTTCTCCATTTCTCGGCCAGCCGGTCGTGTGTGCAGCCCTCTCTCCCTTCCATCCCTTCCATGTGAGACATCAGCTCGGAGGATTTTGGCTGTTTTTCTGGCTACGCATTTCTTTCTTCCTTTTGAGTGCTGGTGTGTTTTTTTTTTGGTGGGTAGTCAGCTCGTGTGGAGATTTTGAAATCTCCGGGAGTGGACGTATACGGGAGGTTTGTGTTTGGCGTGGTGTGTGTCGAATCCGTGTGGATTCCGATTCATTGTAATTGTTTTCTTCCTGCTGGCAGCAATTGGACTAGTGTAGATTGGGTGCTTGGGTGACGAGGTTGAGGAATTGGGCCCCTGTTATACATTCTGCCCAGGAGCTATGCCCCCCTTGGGGGCCTGTAAGCCCGCTGTCCTGTCCTGCCATTCCGAATTCTTCTTTTCAGCTCGAGCTGCCCCGTCCTGTTCTTCTCTGTTCGTGGGTCATTCGAGATTCTCTTTCGAGAGGCGAGTTGGTGGCGCAGGTTTGAGATTGCAGCGAAAGTCGTCTGCCTGGGAGCACTTCCAGGAGTCTAGCCATGCCTCTCGTTCACAGGTTGGTTCGTCATCTCTCTGGCTCTGGCTCTCCTTTGTATAATGGTCGATACAGGGCTGGCTTATAAAATAGGTTGTAAGCTAAAAGCGTGTGCGCTCATACATAAACCTGTGCCCAGCTGCTATGTTGGTTATTATGCTTTTTTATTGGTTCAGAGCACCAAAATCCACAATTCTATTTAAACCACCAAGTGAATCGAGCAGTAGACTGATGCTCATCATGTAGATTTAGTTGAAGGGATATCCTGGATTTCAGTGGACTGTTCAGTTGGATTTCACCTTTGCAGATGCGAAACTCTTAAGAAACTGGTGAGAGCATTCCCAGGTGCAGTGTCGGTGTAATGCAGGCACCTCAAACATGCCGGCCAGCGTGTCTGTTGGTCGGAGCATATTGGAACTTCAATTCAACATATATCTAAGAACTGCATGAAGATTGTGTCACGATTTGTTCAGTGCATATCATGTATCACTACATACGATTTCTTCAAGTGACTCTAGGTTCATATTTTCCACATGCAGAGTGCCAAAATATTGAGAGCTCAGGATGGAACGGGAGAAGCTGAACTTTTCTCCCCAAATCGAGGGGATGGAGATCTTTGGAAGGTTTCGGCATATGGTGAACAGATTCCAACACAAGCGGAGTCCGTCACCGGGGCCACTCAGACAATTCAGGCTGAATTTAGATCCCTGCCAGACCTTGACTATCTGCAGGTATTCTTGTATATCCTTGTCCAAGTTCATATTTCTCATTGGGTCGTAGCTTCTATCTGAAGCAGCAGTTTGTGTAGGCTGATAAAGAACCTGTCAAGAGTCTCGATCTTTCATTCCCTCCTTTCCCAGAGCCGAGAGCAACCACAGGAAACATACGCATTGCTCACACTTAAATTTGTAATCTGGTTGCAGGAACTTCTTGCTATCCAGCAATCTGGACCAAGGGCGATAGGTTTTTTTGGAACACGTAATATGGGTTTCATGCATCAACAACTCATTGAAATTTTGAGTTACGCGATGGTCATAACGGTCAGTATGCAGTCCCTCTACTTCTCTTGCCCCATTAGATTAGGGTGTCTTGGTTTCTCTCAATCTGGGTCCAGATCAATGTCGACAGCACCTGATTACCTTTGTGATGTGCAGAAAAATCATATTTACACATCTGGAGCATCAGGAACCAATGCAGCTGTAATTCGAGGAGCTCTGAGGGCGGAGATGCCTGAATTGCTGACAGTTATTCTGCCTCAGAGCTTGAAGAAGCAACCACCTGAGAGTCAAGACTTGCTTTCGAAGGTGATTTTCAACTTATTGGAGGTTAATCTATATGAATATCGATATAGCTTTAGCTCTTTTGAAATAGTCAAAATCTGAACCCAAACTTGTACGTCAGGAGATTTCTAGGTTTGAACATATCCATTCGTGTTAACTGGAGGTACTTTTGGTCAAGTCTCAATACATGTAAGAATGATACGAGAAGTTAGTGGGTCTGACCTTGAACCTCCACTTGAATGTTGGATAGGAAGCAATGACGTCTCTTGTTGTTCTATCATTAAAGACTGAATCGGAGATATGAGCATATTCTGACCGATGTCCATTTTTTCAGGTGAAGAATGTGATTGAAATGCCTCACAATGACCATCTTCCTCTACTGGAGGCTAGCAGGTGATGATTACTTTCCAGAATTTTACTTCTCGTTTGAACAAAGGGCATTCAAATCCAAAATCTTCTTTAGCTTAATACAGTAAGGGGCTGAGCAGCTTTGCAGTAGTGAGTCGGTCTTATTTCAGAGAAGAATTTGTGATTGACTCCAAAGTTGTTACTTAAGTGATGTCTGTCATAGGATGGTATGATGTAGCAATCTATCCTCGGTATAATTTTCTCTAATCCCATGTCTCACAGAGTAAGCACTTCCACTGTTTAAAGTCCGAATTGGTGCGTAACAAAAACGCATCATAGAGTTGGTCGAATAACGAGCCATTAATCATGGGTCTACCGAGGAGATCCGTGTGTTAGTCAAGTTCCAAATATGACTTGTCATGTGTCTCCTTACGTTTCAATGTAATATCTTCCTCTCTTTTTTCTTAAAATATTATCCTTGTTGGTATGGTCGATGTTGATTTTATAAACTACAATTATAATCGACTGTGTTGTATGTGTTTTACTACAGTACTTCTCATGTCGGCATCATGTTCCTTAAGATTTCAAAGTCTTTTCAAAGTCTTTGGACTCCTCCTCTCAGTGAACCTTTTCAATAGGCCGCCTAACTAATAGGTGGACTAACTGGCAGTTTTAGCGCAAGAGTCAAGTACACAGAAATTTGAAGTCTCAACAGTAAAGAAATTTTTTATTTGATATCCAGGTCTGTCGACTTGCATAAGTATAGTTCTCAAGGATCAGATCGTCTGGACATGTAGTAATTTGGCAGTTCTTTGCACCTTTATCTTTTTTGCTGTGTTGATTTTGCCGTCAACTTATTTGTCGGGAAGAAAATCTATACAGATGCTCGCTTACTTACATGGATGGGCAAACCACGATTTCAGTAGAATAGCCGTACCTCCTTTATAGTCTAACAAGAGGAGCCTATTCCTTCTTGTAAATACCTGTCCGGAGATATACTGGCCATCCGTAGTGCTGTGAAGTTATTCAGTTTGTAATTGCCATGTAGTGAGGTCGAACTGTGAGCTCTCTATCTTATATCTCAATCTACGCACGTCAAATCTACAGTCAGTGGTATGGATATTACCTACTTTTGTTAACCAAAAATCCTAGTGTAGATCTCAAACCGTTGAAATGAATTCGAAGAGTAGCTAAAGTAGTTATAAATGCTGTCAACAACTAATAATGCTTCCTAACCTCCAATGAAAACTCTTAAAACTATTTTATTTGATACCCTTACGTGGGATATTAGGAATCAAAAGAAGCAGAGGTACTGTAGTTCATAATTGTTAGTGGATGTATTTAGTGTTTTCATGTCAATCGGGGCTTATTTTCTGTACTAACAGAACCTGTGGTGAGCTTTGTTGTGGACAGGCTTTGCAATATGGACATTTTATCTCATGTGCAGCAAGTAATCTGCTTCGCCTTTCACGACAGCAACCTGCTGATGGAAACATGTCGGGAGGCTAAAAGTCTTCGGAAAATTGTGACATTATTCTACTTGGATTGAAGATGAAGTGATTCTTATGGTCAAGGGACTGATAAGTGAGTACCAGTGATTCACCTGGTTGTACAATCGGTTGTTCTCAGCTCTGGCGGTCGGCCCTCTAGAGGCCCTTGAGGCTTGTATTTAAAAGAGTAGGTTAATTCTTTTGTGTCATATAAAACATGGTACAAAGTGGGTATCAGCATTGTGACCTCTATCAGGGGGTCCAGCAAGTGCGCCGTCCAGGCACTTGCTGTCAAGTGATTGCATTTTTTAAAATAAAATTTGCTGTCAAATCTAGAAAATGTATTGAACTCTTTTTCTAAAAACAATTTGTTTGCGTCGTCACTTGTATATATAATCAATCCACGCATACCAGTCCAAATCACAGCTAAAAAACTGCTCTATTGCCTGTTCTTTTCAGAAGGTCTTAGGTGAAATGAACGTGGATACAAAGAATAAGATTCTGCTCCAGATAAACAGTAGATCAGAAATTGAAACATCATGAATATGAAATGATTGTTTTTAAATACAGAGTTCACTTATATATCAATTGAAAGCACTGTTTTCTCAGAAGGTGCTTCACCCTATATTTCGGGAGGCACGAGATATGATCTTCTGATACGCGCATGAAAGCGCACGATGCGATACATGGTGGGCGAAGAGGTGACCATAACATGCCAATGTCACGACAAAGATCGCCCTTTAAATTCCCACAATATATTTAAAGTGCCGGAAACAAAATTGTTCGTTTCTGTCAATATTCCCATGTGGAATTAATTGCCTGATGGAACCTATTTCCATGTGGAATTAATTGTTTGATGAAACCTAAATTGTTTGACGGGAACCATGAATTTCCAATTTTAACCAATGGTATACATTCCATGACACAAATTCGTCAAGTCCTAAAAGTATTCCTGAACAAATATGATGCAAACTTTAGAAAACTTTTGCAATCGCAAATCACAACTATTGCTAATCCGATATGTTTTTGTCTAATCTATTGCTGGATGCAAAATTTGTTCGTGCCCCTTGCGATCGCTCGTTTCCTTCGAATCCCGTGGTCAATCGATTGTACAATCTAATCGATCGAGTCAAATTTTGGTCGAAATCTGTCTAGTATCGACAGATTTTGCCTAGTCTAACCTCAGGCTTGGTTCCTGCCTGTTTGACGTTGGAGATCACATCTCTCTTTGAATGAAGTTTAATTTGTCTATGAATGACGAAATATGGTGGTGTTTGATCCTACTCTTAAACGGTAACTCTTTTACTTCGCGCAGCCGCGACAAATTTCACTGTACAACTTTTGAATCGTATGTAATTTTTTTCCCAAACTATCAAAATTAAATCTTAACAACCGCAAGCCACCGATTTCTATATCTTCGACATATTTGGTCGTTCCTCGACGGAATAGATTTATTGTTTATAGTTTGGGAGAAAACTCATTTGAATCCTAAATGAGTTTTCTCCCAAACTCATTTAGGATTCAAAAATTGAACGGTGAAATTGGTCGAAGGAAGGAAAAGTTACTGTTTAAGGTGACGGATCTAACATCAACATCTTTCTTCATTCCTTAAAAAATTTAACTTAGTTCGAAGAGAGATGTGATCTCCAATTCGATATCCTCTGAGCCGAGACCTCCGAACTAATACTATGTCGTTCACCAGATTCTCAGATATGAGATACAGGTCTGCCCTTCCTGAGGTCGACGTTTGGAATGCACTGGAATCGTAAGATATCGAAAACACTCGAGCGCGAGTTCCCTCTTGCAGTAGATCCGGACCGAGCCATTGCTACGGCCAACACACCGAGCGATCGGACATGCATGCCCACGAGCTCTTGTATGCATCCGAATGTTTCGTTGGTATATTGAAGAATCTAGGGCAATCAACGTGTTTGCAGCCAACAAGCTGAGAAAACGGTCAGACTTTATGGCTCCTTCCGGATCGCGCCGTTCTTCTTCATGTTCAAATGTGCAGGTGGAGGAAGCCGTCGAATACGTCCAGAATTTCAAGGACACTTGATGAATGACGAAGGAACTTTTCAAAAGTTCCTGAAGATCATGGACGGCTTCAAGAAAGGACACTTGGATATCACCGATGTTATAGTACGGGTCAAGTCTATCCGTACCGTAGGGCAGTGCCTGCATACAAAACGTAATTGGCGAAACAACCGAACCAAACGAGCAATGCCGAATCGAGATGTGATTTCCAACGTGAAACAATCACAAACCAAGCCCGAGGTTTAACTATAGCAAAATCTGTCGATTTTCAACACCGTAAACATAACTTCTTTACTTAACTACTTTACCAATTTCACTGTTCAATTTTTGAATTGTATACGATTTTTCTCCCAAACTATAGACAGAAAAAAATCTATTACATCACGCAGCCACTGCTCAGTTATTTCACTACTCAATTTTTTTACTTATATATGGTTTTTACCCAAAATCACCAAAGAACATCAGTCAAACACTATTTTGTTTGAAACTTTATAGTGAAAATTGTTACTATCTAACTGTTGATACTAGATCGTGTTTGAAGTGTATTGTCGCCCTGTCTCATCGGGTAAAGAGAAAATTAAAGGGTCAAGTAATTTAGGTAAGCAATTTAGGTGACGATGGTCCCATCAAGTAAATGCATACGTCATGTGACACTATCTTTTGCCGGTGCAAGGTTCCATGTATATTACTGAAAACCTGTAACTGTTAATAAGAATAAAGTCATAGTGCTGAAACTATGTCCATTTTTCATCATATGTCACGTGGGAAGAGAGTCGGGAATGACATGCGAAAGATCACACGCCAAGACCCAAGATGGCAGATACTTTTTACTCAATGCACCGTGAGCCTCTACTATTGCCTTCAACGATTACTCAAGTGATCAAAACATACAAAGAGATTTCTAATCATCATGTAACAATGTTGGGTATAGACTTAAACCATGGTTTGTAGCGTGTTCTCGGCACATTCGTTCCCCAATTTTATATCCAAATGATCTCTCACTATAATCGTCAGAAGAAAAGTTGTCATATAACTTTCTCTCCCAAATTGAACATAGTAAATTAAACAAAAAGCATAATGACAAAGTAAGTAAAAACCATACCATTCATACAAATGTACATTCTAGAACTTCAAATACATAACAATTAGGCGAAATATAATCTGGTTTACAAAGTCAAAACAAAGTCAAAACTGGATGATATGTGACAAGTGAAAAGATTCATATTTTAGTTAAAAATTAAAAATTCATCATTTGTTCCAGAAAACAAAAAAGTATTTTTTTAATCTTATGCAATCAAGAATGCATCTTTTTATCTAGCTTAGTCAGAATTCACAATATAGATAGTGTAATGAAGCAAAAGTTGATGTCTCACGTTAGTGTAAATAAAATTACTAAACTGAAGTAATTTGTATCCGGACTAAAGACTCTTAGTACAAGACTGGATCTCATTTGATCAATCTCAGCTAAATTCGGATAATACGTACAAGGTATAAGATTTAGATTAATTATATCATCAAGTATTGGAAGAAAGCATGACGCAAATTCAATACAAAACTTCCAATCCATCTCATCACACACTGTAACTTTAAGAACCAACAAAATTAAATAGAAGTCACATAAGTTTGAATACATAGTTACATTTTAAAATTAATACTACCTGTTGCAAAAAAATCTCATCACCAAAATGGTTTTGAATTGAAAATAAACCCCATTATAATTGAATGTCTTCAAAGTCATCATGATAACTTAAATTAAATTTAGCTTTTAAATTCCATATCTGCTACAGTCATAAAACACATAATTTAAACTAGTTCTAAAAAATTTATTTCGAATCTGGTACTTTATGATATATAATATTTATGTGGTCTAAAGTTTCAAAATCGTTCTTGGATGTTGTGAGAGAAAGAGGAGCTCTCTTGATCTCGAAGAGGGATGAGATAAAAATTTCGAAATGTCATGTATAGTTAAAATTGAATTAAACTATGCAAAGGTAAAGAAATGGTTCTTTTGAAAGATATCTATTTCGAAATTAAAGTCATATACTTATGTATAAATTATCATCTGAAAATTTAAATGGGTCAAAAATCAAAAGGATCTTATCAACCCAATGATGCAAAATCAACATTAATACATCCAACAAGACTTTAGAATGGTGTTCAGCTTCTTAAAGTTGGTATAAAGTCACATGAATCGGACCCAAGAAAACATCTTCTGTAACCATTTTCGTCTTTTGGCCGAATACTTTTTAAAGTATCTGGCCGAAATTTAGACCAATTGGAGACGATAAATATCCAATTTAATTTGTAATCCATATGATTGGAAATTCCCTTAAAATAGAACATAAGTTGGACAAAGCATTAATCAAAGTGGCATCTATACAAAAGGCCTTGCATTTCATCGCTATAAACCGTCGGAAAGCGATAAAATAGCCGATCCAGTATACTTATGTGATAAGCTGATCTTCGAATAAGAATTATCATGAATTTTATCGTCTATGCGCTACTCTTTTAGATTGGTTTGGAAAGCATGCAAAGGAACTATTTTTCATTTGTTAACTGGTGACAAATGTTACCTGAAATTGCTATGGTCAAACTTTGTAATCATGATGCTCTGTTTCGGATTTATCACTTACTGGCAACAAAAAGGGTAAACTATGGAACTTCTGAAATTTATTTGGAAAACCAAACAGGTGCAAAAAAACCACAAATTCGTTGGACTATTACTGATACAACATGAGTTCATCACCTTCCTGTGCTCTGTTTTCTCTGCTCGACCTCAACGTACAGTCGGAATGCGCTACTACAGAAGAATGATAGCAAAGGAGGAGAGAATCCTTATTATATAGGAAAAAATAAGGTGCATGAAACTCCTAAGAGGTGCTTGTTGCATTCGACCGCTCTTTCTCATGTCACAACTGTGTTTGACCAGATTGCACAGTTGTTGATGTGACAGGAGAAATTGCGTTTCAAACGCTCTAACTTTCCAGATGGCACTTCTAAAACTCTGCAGATGACACCTATAAAGTTATACACATCGCATCTTCACAACTAACAACGTGTATACTGCATTCCCCTTGGATTGGAGTAGATTGCTTGTCAGCAGCGATCCCTCGGAATTAAGTAAATTCTCGCTATCTACACAACTTTTGATGCAGTTGCTCGGTCCACGATCCATACATGCATGCACACCCATCTGGTCTATACTTTGGCAGTGACAAAAGATCTCTCTGTCGACAAGACATCCATCCAGACAATCCTGTAGGTTCGGGCCGACCAGTGTATGCGCCCGCATTGCACTCGGCCGTCGACAGTCAGAGCTAGAATTTATCTATCTTCACTCTAGTTCAGCCTTCGGATCAGAAAGGTAGTCCTGCTTAAAATAATAGAAGACCATGTCCGTCCGACGGTCAGAAAGACGTAGAAATGCCTTTCAATACTGGGCCTCTGCATGCATGAAGGGTGGAGCATCAGCATTGTCATCAGGCCCTGGGGAGAGGGCGACGGCTCTTCGTCAACACAACCGGTACTCAAATGATGTTGTTGAGGCGAGACATGCCGAAACTCGTTTCTTCCTCTTCAAGTCTAATCGAGGAATTGTTTGTTCACTACCGCTGCCACCGATTGCTTCGATGGCTTGAGCACATCGAGAGACTGCTCAGTCAACACTCTTACAGTCAAATGGAAAATCTTGACTCGGCCTCGTTGTCTTACCGCGCTTGCGTGCGTGTCTGTCCGACCAGAGTCGCTGAAACTGGAAGATTTATATCGCAAGATTTCTCTCCTTCCATTACCAACCAGACAGACAGACCGACCGACCCTGAGCCTTTCCTGACCCCTGATGGATTGCTGGATGGATGGACGGATGGATGTCAGCTCAGCTCAAGATTCAGAAGCTTCTGTCAGTCCCCGAGGAAGACCGTAGACATCAGTCTCCCACGCAGTGGACTCCGAGATGGTACAAAAACCAGCGCCAGTAGCACCTCAGGACACTCTCACAGCCTCCGTATTCTAGACCTCGATCAGTAGATCGATCCGATTACGGCAAAAGCTGCAATAAATTCGAGAAGCAGCCGGCTCTGCAGGCAAAATGGCACGGTCTTCTTACTTGGAAGCACTATTATTGTCGGCAGTTTTATCAGTCCATGTTATAAGCTCAGTGACCAGTGCCCCCACCGAGGACCTGATCCCGAGCCTGCCTGGTCAGCCCAATGTGCCCTTCAAACAATATGGTGGCTACGTCACGGTGGATGAAGCTAATGGTCGTGCGCTGTATTACTACTTCGTTGAAGCAGAAACCGATCCCAGATCAAAGCCTTTGACCCTGTGGCTGAACGGAGGTACACCTCGTTCGCTCACATAACATCGATTCTAGATTCGAATTCCAGGTCATGTACGAAAATCCACGTCTCTTCTCTTCCACTGGAAACTCCTCTGAGTTTGCAGAGTCCACCTTGAGGCCTCGAAGTCTTGAAGAGTTGAGCTTCGCGTCCTTCCTTCGTCTGACGGTTGGCAAGATTCAATGTTGCAAATATGTTTTAGTTTCTGCATTGAATGGAATGATCACAAAACCTTTGCTGCTTGAGAAATTGCTGACCGTAGTACATGGGGCAGAATCTTGCTCTGCCTCACTTCAAGACTGCCTTCAGTGGGAGGAGGACCTTCTTGTTTTCCTGCTGCTGGTTTAGGCGGCGGCTACGCCATTCCGGGAAACAGCAACAACAGCAACAGGAACGTGTACTTTAAGCTCGTGAGTGTGGTGTGAATTGTAGGCCCAGGATGTTCGTCGTTGGGAGGCGGAGGATTTTCTGAATGCGGGCCATTTTTTCCCAGCGAGAGCGGCAAGTCTCTAGTCAAGAACGAGCATTCATGGATAAAAGGTGATCAGCGTCAAGATCGCTGGGAAGAGCAGAGCGCGTAGATGCACTTACTTCGATCCTGGACTTCGATCCCGTACTTTGATATTGGGAATTATGGCAGGCGATCCTGGTTCTTTGAACTCTCTTGCTGTTTCTTTCCCACTTTCTGTGCTACCATGGGAAGTTAAAGACTCAAAGAAGCACGTTCCTGCAGAAAAATCTTCTCTGAGGAATCGTCCTGGCCCTGGCCCTGACAAGTTTCGCAAGAAATTGCATTAAAAATCAGAGCGACTTGACAGTAGTCTCAACGACCTTGTAGATTGCTTTCTTGTCGATCGAAATCTCGAAGCCTGGAGCCTGAAGTCTGACAAACCATTGTATTTACAGTTTCCAACATGCTTTTCCTGGAATCGCCGGCTGGAGTTGGATTCTCTTACTCGAACACTTCATCCGACTACACCACCGACGACGTCAGAACTGGTGAGCGAGCTGAAGCCCGTGTTCTGTTCTGTTCCTTAGTGATGATGTGAGTGTGTATGAAACATGCCCGAGATTCGATCAGAACGAGCCACAAATTGCCACTTTATTTCAAACAAAATGGATGGATTCATCGCTGCTTTGTACGAGAATCGTACCTGAGATAACTTACTCGTTTCCGCTCGTTCCCCAGCTTCTGATTTGGATGAGTCGAGGAGTATTTATAGATGTCAAACAGACCACAACTCGATCGGAGTTGGAAATCACTTGCTCAACGTCGGAGCTTAGATCTTGACATGAAAACCTGGACCTGAATGAATCTTGACTGCATGACATGCACTGAGCTGGTGTAGTGTGGAATCTCGCTTGCAGCACAGGATTCGCTCAAGTTTCTTCTGGGTTGGTTCAGCAAGTTTCCCGAGTACTTGCAAACAGACTTCTACATTGCTGGTGAAAGCTACGCAGGTTGGTCCGTTTGTGAAATTCAGCCACTTGTTCAGAAATCTCGATCGTAATGCTTTCACTGACCAAGGAAGTTTGCCTATGCCTTGGGTGGATTCGTATCGGACATGAATGCTAGAGAAGATGCTGGATGGTACATAATTGTAATCTGTGCAATTTTGGGGGGTACAGGGCACTATGCACCCCAACTGGCAGCTCTCATACTAACGAACAATAACGAAGGCGCAGACAAGGTTCAGATTCAGCTCAAAGGGATACTGGTAAGACATTTCTTGGCATTAACCAGCTCATTTCTCAAATTGAAAGCCTTTGGAAGTGATTGCCGGAAGCTCTTCCATCGAGAGCAAGCTGCATAGAAACAATGAATTGTGATCGGTCCCCGCACTGACTGCTTGAACAGGTCGGAGCTCCATTGATCGATTATGCCGTTGACAAGTTGTACTCGCCGACGGTCTTCCTCTGGTCTCACGGACTGATCTCACAAGCCACGTATGACACTATCATGAAACATTGCAACTTCAGCAGAACAGCACCACAAAGCGCGACTTGCACCACTGCATTGGGACAATCCGACTTCGAGTCACAATCTCTAAGCGGGTACATTGACCCATACAACGTGCTGGGAGACGTCTGCTCTGCTTCGGCCTTCGAAGAAGCTCGTCGGTTGAAGATCATGGTACCTATTTCTGGACTGTGTCTCCTATCTACGGGAGAACTCAGAATGTTCTAATTTGCTAACAAATTACCTTGAGCTGCAACGCTGATATTTCGGATCTCGTAACTCAATGAACTGAACAGGTGATGCAAAGGAACCAGATGTCAGTCAACGAGGCAGCTTTGAACCCGTGTATTGAAAATGCTGAGCATATGTACCTGAATCTACCCGAAGTTCAATCAGCTCTTCATGCAAAGAAAATAATTTGGTCACTCTGCACCTAGTAAGTCTTCTTGTCTTCAAACTCAGCATCTGAATCAGTCGATTCTGATTCCTAACGTCCGTACATCGAACGTGTTGTCGTCGTGGCACCAATAATCTGGATCGAATGCAGTTCTCTCATTTACAGGATGGAGGATCTGGAGATCAAAATGCTTCCCGTCCACAGAGATCTCCTCAACAGCGGACTCCGAGTTTGGATTTTCAGGTAGAGACAGTCTCATGCTCTCAAAAATTTGAGATAATTCCAAAGTTTGTCTACTAAAGACTCTTGCGCAGCCGAGAAATCCATCAACCCAACAATCGAACTGCAGCATCAGAATTTCTTCAGAATCTATCTCTCGAAATAAGATTTCATGCATGGTAACTAGAAAAACTGACTCCGGCATCTGGATCAACGATTGAGGAATAATCAGCTTGTTGGAAGCCTAGTCTGTATTATAGAAATCTAAACTGCGTGCCAATTGTTTGGATGATGGCAGTGGAGATCAAGATTCTATTATTCCATTCATTGGGACAAGGCAGCTCATTAACCAGCTAGGCAAGGATTTAAGCAAAACAGTGTCCGGTGCAAATTATACCGCTTGGTTCCAAGGGAAACAGGTCAGACCATCACCGTCTTGTGAATCTATGAGCAACTCTCTGCTGGGTCCAGTGTTCGTCAATCTCTTGGTTTGAAGGTCAAAACCATGCCACTTTCCTTCCATTTTCGAACGTATGTGTCGACTGCTTGTTTCATGTCAACTTACGATTCTTTGATATCTGTGGTTGCACAGGTTGGAGGCTGGACGAGCACTTGGGGAAACCTGACATACGCCACAGTTAGAGGTGCAGGGCATCTCGTACCCAGAACTCAAGGAGCTCGAGCTCTCCAATTGTTTACTTCCTACCTCGGAGGGGAACACCTTCAGTCCAAACCTGAGTGAGAAATTTCCGGTTCTCTAGCCCATCCACTTGTCATACTCCAATTATGTTGGAACTTTCAACCGAATACCCTGGAACAGTCCAGTGGTGACGGAAGGTAATTTGGACAAGGTTCTGGATATCCTCCAGCTCTTCCACTGTACTGCAGTATATTTCTGAACGTAGTAGATTATTTCCGCTCGTACAGCCACTGGCAGTCGTTAGGTAGAGTAACTTTCACCAGTGAAAAGAAGACCAGCTGACATTAGGCGGCACTGGCACCTGGCCAAAATTCTGAATATTAGTTGGCTACAGGTCACTTCACCCCCTCCTGTTACTACGTTGTAGCTTCCTGTATTTTAAAGGGTTAAAATGAGCTCAGTAGGAAGCAGTACTGTGCCTTTTTGCTATACAGCAAGACCCGGTCCAAGTTACCCATGAGGAGGTTCGCATCCTAACGGTTCAGACAACACAGAGTTCCTGATCTCTCCCGGCGTTTGAGCAGTTGCATATGTGACAGTTGGAGTGTACAATGACAACCGAGATGCTCACTTCCATCTGCCGATCTGGAGGAAATGCTAAATTCAGTCTACTCAACCACTTGTTATGAGGCATTTGGATTTTAAAAAAACTTTCATTATCCGTTCAAAAGTGTTGCGAAACTATAAATTTCATCGAGAAGCATAGGTCGATCTTGTTGTCAATGTGGACACTCCCTAAAGAATTACCTGTAGAGGCCTGAATTAAAACAGAGCGGGAATTCCAGATCCGTTGATGTGAGACGAGACTGATACGACACAACTAAAAGCCTAACTGTTTCAGCAGTGCATGCAAGTGAAAAGTGGTCCTGTTAGTAGTCACAACAGCCAAGGACGTGTATGATGATCATCTGGCCCTACCATCATCTCATAGATAATGGTAGGGCCGGAATGATTCTCCAAGCCCTTTATTTGACAGGTGACCCCACAGAACTCGACTGGTCTCCAGATGCAGGAGTAACTAACTGCCCGAATTCATGTGAAATCGGTAAGTTTCAATTCGATATTTCTCCTGTCCGGCGTTTCCTGCTTGTATTCCATCGCTGAAACCAGGATTCAGCGCGCCTACCTAACTCCGATGAAACAGCAGTACTAAACAGCTTCACCCTAATTCGGATTCCCCTCCGTTCTCCTCTTCTCACTCCAACCGGTATAACGAGGATATCCTTCCCCTCAATCATTCTTCTAATCAATGCGCAGAAACATCCTTATACAAGTCTATTTCGTATGCGCTTATGCTTCAGATGACGTGACAACCAGCTAAAGTAAGCTTCCTAAAACAAAGGCAGTCAGGAAGTTATTGAGTTCGTTGTGCTAAGAGTTCAGCGCCTTATGTACTACATCGTTACAGCACCTCATAATTCAAATGTTGCATGTCAAATGCCACCGCCAAATGGAAAACGATGATTCCTTTGCAAAAGGAAGAGCAAGGCCATCGAACCTTCGCTCCTCTCCATTTATGTTCGAAGGACTGTCCTCCGAAAAAGCTATGATTTTCGTCCACGAAGAGTACAGCATAACATCAAGAGGAAAGAGAGGCTTATATTCCCTTTAAGGAATAGAAACCCCCAGAACAACCTCGGTCACTTGCAGACTTTGAGTTGGGAGTTTAAAATGAATGTGAACTTTGCTGTACATGTGTCTGCAAGCCGGAAATCAGTCTGGATGTTAAAAAAGCCCGACCTAGTTGTAATAGGCACGACCATAGCTCTCTGCCAGAAGATTCGCTCTTACCCGGAACTGCGGAACTGGGTGCTACATGGACGAGAATGAACATTTGCAAACTTCACCCGTCTCTTCCATTCTCGAACTCGCCGGGGCAAGGATTTCGTGGTGTGTCATGATCCCCTCATGTACGATATACGACAATCACCATTATCTGGCAATTTATCCATTCCAGCAACCATGAGGCTCGTCTCCTGTACTTGAGCTGTTTGCCCGCAATAGCATCGCTATTAGCGTGCTTCCAAAGGCATTTCCCTTCGCGCCGTGACCGGCCCATTGACGCACGTCCTGGCTCGAACTTGAAATACTGTCATTTGTTTGGCCTTTGTTTGCACATATGGCGAGTTCCTTCGTTCGTTGAGGACACTGACCTAATGTAGCACTGTTGAACAGGAGACAGTTCAAAGGGTCGACATGCATCTTGCACAACTTGCAAATCTGCGTTCACTGCCTGAACGCAGGCGACATGAGCAGGCAAGCATGATCAGACTCTCGGTTTTGCGTGGGAGAACGCGCAGCTCGGATGATCACCACGGGTTGAATTCACAGCAAGAGCGTGCTTCAACTGAGTGTCAGGTAGAGAGACATGCAGATGGTACCCAGAGATGGAGTGACGAGGTATGGAACCTTTTCATCTGCAATCGCGATGGATGCAGAAATCTGATCTCATGAGTTGATAGATCAGCATGACGATACCCAAGATCTACGTGACAGTGGAGCCTTCGGAGTCGGAGAAGGTGGTTTATCTTCCAATGGCACCGATTAATTCGCAAGCTAAACCTCGTGGCAGAATCATGTTGCACTTCCAGCTTACGAACGGCGAAGATGCAGAGATTCAGCTCGAGCAAGTGACAGTGTCGTTCCCTCAGTCTTCTGTCAAAACCGTGACTCGAGCCATCAACAGAACTCTCCATGCAGCAGTGTCTCAGTCTTGGTGGTTTCAAAACCCCGAGGACCACATCGTTTTTGACCTCCCTGCCCCGAGTCAAATAAAGTTCTCATTTCAATGCAAGGGCTTCCCAGAGCCGAGAAACTTCATGTTCGGCCTCGACCTTGCTCCACATGTCAGCCCAGTTCAGGGTGGAGCTTACTTGTTTCCGGGCCAATGCTTGGAACTTGCAGTCGGGGAGTTTTGGAAATTGAATGGCTGCAGTCATGGAGTGGGAGACCATGGCAAGCAGAGCTTTGGTTACGACATGGGTGTTTGGGGGGCGAACCACGATGAGGAGAAGACTTACGGTTGGGTGCACCCCGACAAAGACGACGAGGAGAACTGCAATTACCGCGTCTGGGGAAAGTCGGTGCTAGCTATGGCTGATGGCATTGTGCTCGAGGCATTGAATGACTGTCCGGATAATCCTGTTCCTTTAAAATGGACCAGCGCAGAAGAACTGAGCAGGAAGATGGAGAGCCAGAGGGAGAAATATTGGGGCAGGTTTGCGAATGGGGCTGAAGGCAACCATCTCTACATTCAGCACGGAGATGAGGTGATACTCTACGGCAACCTCCAGCAGACCTCGCTCAACCCAGCATTGCTAGCACCGGGATCGGTCGTGAGAGCGGGTGACTATCTCGGCCTCGCCGGCAATGCCGGAAATTCAACCTCGCCGCATCTGCACATTCATGCTCAAAAGGGCAACGCGCCGAACGCTGGACCCCTGAGGCCTATAATATTTCGCAACTGCTTCACTATCGATGAAGCCAGCATCACGACCTCGCGACCACGAGGATTCTGGGTGAAGATAGAGCAGAAAGGCCTACCGGAAGGGCCTGCGGACAAGCGATACGAAGGGCACTGCCTAGTCTGGCCCAGCGAGGACCCGCCACGATGGCCGGAGGTGATCCGGCTCTCAGTCATGGAATCGGACTATCAATCGCTCTTCAAGGACATGTCGGCGCACGGGCTGAGACCCATCGCCATCAACGCGTACAACATCGGAAGGCAAACCTTCTTCAACGCCATTTTCCGCCCAATCGCAGGAACGAGCTACATTTGCAAGCACGGCCTGGACGGCAGGCAGTACCAGCACGAATTCGACAAGTGGGTCAACAAGGGCTTCCGGCTGCTGCACATCGAGAGCTACTACAGCCACTGCAGGAACAAAATCTGCTACGCGCCGCTCTTCATCAAAGCGCCGGGGCCGAGCTTCATAGCGTACCACGGCAAAACCATGGAGGAGCACGAGGAGCTGCTCAGCGATTACTCCACGACCAAGGGCCTGGTGCCGGTGATCATCAGCGTCGTGTCCGTGGGCGACGACCGATACTACACGGCGGTGTTCGAGAAGGAGGACGATGTGAGCTACCTGGCGGCGCATTCGAGGATGAAGCCCGCCTACTACCAGCAGCGATTCATCGACCTCACGCGCAAGGGCCTCAGCATGGCCTATCTCAATGTCTACTCGCACCTCGACGACCTCAATTTCGTGTGCATCTGGTACGCGCGCGACGAGCCCTCGCGCTTCTTCGCGCTCCATCACCTCGACGAGGACGAGCTCCGCGACCTCGTCGTCGCCCAGCGCAAGGCCAACCTCACTCTCCGCTCCGCCGCCGGCTACGAGCGGCACGGCACCGCCAACTTCGCCGCCGTCTGGAGCTAGCTAACTAAACTAGCTAGCCGAGAAAGCGCCTCCTGTTCCGAAGCCGGTCTCAGTCCGTCCATTTCAGCGCCCGTCGGCATGCCCCTTTTCGGCGCCGAGTGGGACTGCGCCTCGTCGCGCTGGAAGGCCGAGTATGACGTGCCGCTCGCGGTGCCGCGATGTTACTGGCTCCGTACCCTGCGGACCCGAACTTGGAGATGGGGTTCGAGTTTACGAAGTCCTCCGTGTGTTCAATCGGCCTGGGCGGGTTCTGTTCTGGATGCTGTCCTTTTGATGCCACGTCACGTCGGCTTGGAGCAGACGACCTCAGTAACCGCCCAACTCAGGGAAGTCGTGGGATTTAGTTGTAGCCAAGCTGCCGACGTAACCTAACCGAGCCACACCACTACACGATCCTTGGACATGACTAGTATGTTAACTATGGTTCAAATTGAACCACAAATCAGGTTAGGCTAATGCCGCTGATCGTACTCGGGGAGTACTGGCATTTATATTTTAGAGTTTAGTCGCGTGTCGCGCGTATTGTCATTGTTGTAAATAGCAGAACACCCGTGAATACACTTCCGTGTCTTAAAGTTGCACGAATTAGATATATATTTACGATGATCCCAAAGGACGAGAAGACAGGCAATTATTCCAAACTGAACATGTATGTTTAGATTACGAATGCGCAAAACAACAATAACTTGCATATTTGTATGCGCACAAGCACAGTATGAAACTAAAATAAAGAGAAAACACTTTGTTACCATCTACACAAAATACTCGAACCAAGACCAATGATTGCTTCAATGTATTTGCTTCAATACTTGATGGTACCCCTCATGTTTAGTTTTACCCGATGTGACCTCAACGACTGTGTGCCGTCCGCGATAGTTCTTGTAACTATGATTGATAGTTACAATGCGGGGATTACAATCAGAGATCAATCCATGATTATAATTTCTGTTGGATTATCACGGGGACAAAGATCGATTTTGCCCTAAGTGCAATTTGTTGTGCTTCAATTCTCCCATCACACCGATTTGCGGATTTCTTTACTGCATCCTGCTTGCACACTCCTTCCGTAACCCTGCATATGCGACAAGGAGCTCGTACCAGAAAGTGGTCCGAGCTCAAGTCTCGCGGTCATCCATTTGTGACGAACAAATAAACTCCGGATGAGCATTTCTTTGCTCGTCAACTGGGGGAGTGGCCGGATACAGAATGACAAAATAAAAACAAGTGAGTTTGATAGAGGGCGAAGTCCACTCTGTCCATTCTTGACAGTCAAGGCTTTGTATTCCTCGTTTGGAAATATACGACTTTTCTAGCATCGAATGCTAAAGGTTCGCGATCTGTTTAAATTACAACGTGGGCGACTTTCCAGTTGTCAAAACACTGCCATGTTGAGCAGCGAATTAAGCTCCGGAAACGTTTGTATGGAAGAATGTAATTTGAGAACAGCCTACCAAAACAGGGATTACCTGAACGTCTTCCACATTGCACAGAGTCTACAACTCTTCACCAGACTTGCATCTCTGTCAAATTTTGGAAAGTTTGGAAGACAGACATCGTTGTTGATCATCACAAACCGGTTTATTATTCCCTGACCAAAATTTGCGAAAGATCCATTCTTCAATTTGATCTTCATAGGAAAGAGACGGTTCAAATGCGAAGTCCACTCTGTCCGCGGGTGTGGTTGACTCGTTGCACTCTCTCTAAAACTCAACTCATTATTAGAACATGGGTGACAGTGTATCGTTCATGGAGTCACATCAGGTAAAACGAAACCTGAAGTGTTCCATCAAGCAAATTATTTTCCGTAGTGGTACCATCAAGCAAATCTCTTGTAAAAGGTATGATATACAATTACAATTTACTGCAACTCTATATCAAACAACCGGGAACAAATTTTTGTAAGTTGAGATCCTACTAGTTAAATCATAAATAATCTTTCAATCATGAATCAATTTTCGAATCATGAAATTTCTTTAACAATGCTCTTCACAAAAACTCAAAATTAAAAAAATTTACAAAATGTTGATGAAAAAATTTAAATGTAAAAAATGTATTTAAAAAATCTTCAAATTGTCACAACACTGATGCCAAAAATTCAACAAATAGACCTAATCATCACTAGATTTAACAACAAATGATGTTAACATAATTGATAGATTTCAAAATTACAACTATTTATAATATACTTCTAAAATGATTGTGAAAAATAAAGATGAAGTAGAAAATAAATTAATTCTTTTTAACTCCAAGTTATTTTTCATATGTGTAATGATTGTATTAAAATTTTCAATCATTAAGACTTTACAAATTCATAGTATTATTTGAATCACTCAGAATCAAATTTCAATCCCGTAAATAATATTCTTCAGATTTAATAATTAAAAACTTCATTTGATTTGAAGTGTGCAAGATAGTTATACAATATTTTTCTTCGTAAAAAAGAAATTTTTTATTAATGATTCGTTTTGTGTTCAATCGACGTAGATTTTTTGAGATTAACGTTTTTCTATTTTAAATTTATCATGAATAATTTTCAATATATATCATAATTAAAATTGGATAAAGGACTAACGATGATAAGGCCCAGTACAGGAGACCCGATGATCATTAAGGGTTTTACTATTTACAGGTTTACGTTTTCAGGCTTCAGCGCCGGAGCGCAAGAAATATAATAGCAGGTTTATTAATTATAATATTCGAACAAGAAATATGAGTGAAGATGTAGGATTTACTAGCGATTAGACAAGCGAGAACTATGAGAAAAAAAAGATGACTATGAGGTTACAAGCTCCTTAAAACAATTGAAGCAATGAGCACTAATATGAATTGAGTTTGAATTAGGTGTACAATTTATGAAGATGAAAATTTCCTTACGAAAATCAACCGGAGAGATTTTACTATATGTAGAAATGATGCTAGTTAGTGATTAGATTGTTGCAATTTGACGATGTTTGTGGACTCACGATTTTTTGTTTAAATTTTTTTATTTTCATAATTTTAAACTTAGGATAAAAACTTTTAAAAAAATGCAATTATGATCAATTTAACCTTTTTGAAATTCAAATTTCAAAACATCACACATTTGATTTTTATTTTGCTTGATGTTTCACATTAGTCAAAAGTGCAAAACAAAGACTATCCTACATATTGCATCATGCATATGAAATATTTTGCAGTTTTTGGAAATATATCTATATGGGTAATGGTTGCAGAATCTCATTACAAGTTCAAAAACATATTATTGAGACATTTCAAAGTTTGTAAGTTATAAGCGGACATTATGTGACACGATATGTAAATGTGGATTTGTAAAATTCATAATGATATGTTAGGACTTGTGATTACCATAGTAGTTGTTGGTAATAGATGTAAATTCTATCAATATTGACTAAATGTAACTCATTATAACTATATTTGATTGATATTGTAATTTTAAGTAAAAAAGTTATATGAATCTTCAAGTCATGTTGACATTTTTTAGTTTTATTAAATATTAATACTGGTTTTTTTCTAAAATTCCAAATTCCAAATTTCATTAAAATATTAACTTGAAATTAATCAAAGATGATGTTGTTGAGGCGAGACCTGCCGAAACCCGTTTCTTCTTCTTCAAGTCTAATCGAGAAATTTTTTCTTCACTACCGCTGCCACCGACTGCTTCGATGGCGGGAGCAAAACGAGAGACTGCTCAGTCAACACTCTTACAGTCAAATGGAAAATCTTGACTCGGCCTCATTGTCTTACCGCGCTTGCGTGCGTGTCTGTCCGACCAGAATCGCTGAAACTGGAAGATGTATATCGCAAGATTTCTCTCCTTCCTTGACGAGACAGACAGACCCTGAGCCTTTCCTGAACCCTGATGGATTGCTGGATGGATGGATGTCAGCTTAGCTCAAGATTCAGAAGCTTCTGTCAGTCCCCGAGGAAGACCGTAGACATCAGTCTCAAACGCGGTGGACTCCGAGATGGTACAAAAACCAGCGCCAGTAGCACCTCAGAAATTAATGAAAGTTAATCAAATATTTCAATGACATGTAAAAAACATAAAAATAAAAATTACCAGAAGACTCCACAGAAAAATCAATAATAATATATTTTGTTGTATATGATGAATTACTTTATGTAAAATTGGAATATATAGACAATGATAAAATAAAAAATTTTGAATTGATATATTCCGTATAAAAAATGTATTACTAATTGGATTTTTTTATTAATAAAAGAAGAAAGAAATTAATAAAACATGAAAATGAAAAAAATGTTATGTAATTATAATATTTATATTTTCGAATGAGTTTATAAATATTTGAGTATTTTTTGAAATTTTGAGCAAGAATTTGTCGAAGATTGTGTATGATAATGAAGAATCCAATATGAACAATTTTTATAGATTAGAATAATCTATTAGCTTATTATAACCTATCAAGATCAATTTGAATGATAATGAATATGAATATGAAAATTACACTGCATACCCAGTCATTAAAGAAGGTTATTAAACAGTCACTAATGCAAACTGAAAAATTTAGTATTTAAATTTTTTGTAGAATACATAGGTTTGCTATCAAATTCTTTTGTGTTGACCTTGGTTTTACTTATTTTTACAATATTTTTTAGGCTCAACAGTATGAAAATCTAATGCAATGTCAAGTAAAATTTTATGTTGGTTTGAATTTAATTACTAAGACTTCATCGGGACATGTTTGAAATTTTACGATCACATTATAGAACTTTTCATGTTTATTTTAGATTCATTCATGGTTTAATATATTTGAGTCTAAGATAAATTTCTTTTACAATTAGTAGTTTTTAGATAAAAAATGTGAAAATTTTAAGTTTTAAATCTTGAATTGAATAATTTTGAAGTATAACGCAACTTACAAAATTTTTTCATTGCAATAATTTATTAACATGGATCCATATGAAATCTACATCTACCAGATATTTGTATCATGTCAAATATTGATAATAAAATGATGTTGATATTGAAATTATACATACGATCACATGATGTAAGGCATTTTATTTTTTCTGTTTTCTATTTATATCTTATGATTTAAGTGTAAATATAAGTATGAATCTATTTCAAATGATATATAAATAATAAATTTTTTATTTTACATATAATAGATAATTTTGTGCTCACATAACAAATGTTTCTGAGGTTACAGGTATTTTTTGTAAGGATTAACCTGCATAAAACAAAGTAAAAGAACTTCAGATCGTTTTTTTTTTAAAAATGGCAATTCTACGCTTTGTTTAAATATTTGTTATATTTATTATAAGATCTATATAAGTTTAGTATTTGTGACGGCACGTTTGATTCATATGGTATGTGGATCATATAATGAAAAATTAAATACATTAAGTTTATCGTACCGTTAAAGTATATGTCAAATATGTTGGACATATTTTCAGCTTGTTGTTCAATGAGGAATGAAAATATCATTAATGCTTTTAACATACAAGATGAGTTGATGGTTACATTATATTGATTGCATACCTGCAATTAACTATGAGACACTGCAACGTTCAGACAATGATCAAAATTTTATACGAAACTATCAGAGCGGAAATACATGCATCCAAATTTGGAATGATATTATCCACATGTCCAAGACGAAAAGTTAAACTTTCTCGGATAACAAAGTGGAAAAACTCGTCAACAAAGCCCGAATAGCGGTTCCTTTTTGCACTGGCAGTAGCCACCTGGCCAGTTCTCGGTCGGAGTCGATTGAAAAGCATCCGTTGAATCGCGAGAGGAGATGGAAAGTTCCAAGAGAGAACAACGGAGTTCGTTCTGAGAGTGGGCCAATGGGAATACCGTAGCATGCACGTGTCAACGAAGCATGATGCGAGTCGAAGTCATTGGAGGGCGAAGTGGTGGCGAGTCGGGCGACACAAGCGGGACGCGAAGGGCGCCGCTAAAGTTGGGGGCCGCGAATGGGACAGCGGTCCGAGATGGACAAATGGCGGACGAGGGACGAGGTTCCGAAGCGGGATTCGTAACACGTTCACGGGCCGAGGGCCAATGGGTTCCGTCGTCGGGAGCTGCCCCTCCTTCAAGCGGCTGTGGCACTGCCACGAGGGCCGCCGCTGATGACGTCACCCTGCCAGCGTCTACGTCGGCCCAAACTCTCCGCTCCGCTCCGCGGCCCGCAGCGGCCGGGCCGAAATTTCGGTCTGCGCGCCTCGAGTCGAGCTCGAGGTGGTTCGGAAAGTTCCGGTCGCGGCGAGCAGGCGGCCGAAAATCAACGCCTTTTCGTGCCTGGTGCCCTGTTTGCGCAGTGCTTGCGCGAGGGCGCACGGGCTGTGGCCGGTCACTGGGCTTCGGTGCCTGCAATGTCGAGGCGGCAGGAAGGGCTTACTTCTCTCGTGCAGAGGAGAGCTGCCACGGCAATCATCGGCTCCTTGCCCAGAGAATTGAGCTGCTTGGATTCGCGACGAGTTCCGGTCCTGCTGCAGCTGGATCCGCGCAGTTTTCAACCAATTTTGGACTATTTCCAATTTTGCTGACGATGCATTAATTCTCGCTTGTTAGATTTTTCTTCCGTCTCCCATCGAGGGGAGCATCGAGGTTTCGGATCGATAGTGCTGGACAGTCCGGGGGTTGAGAAAATTGGGAATCTTTGGGGTTTGCCTATTTCGTCAGGATTTTAGCAGCCGGGTCGTAGATTGTGAGTGAGGTGATGATAATTCGGATCGCCGGAGAAACAAATGGATCCTGGAACAGAGACGACCTGGGCTTCGAGACTCAGAGGTCAAAAGATAGAGATGGAAATATTTACGGCGAAATACTACGCAGCTTGTGCAGCTGGAGGAATGGTATCGGCCGGAAGCGTTCATTTCCTCGTCACTCCTTTCGACATGCTGAAGGTTAACATGCAGGTGTGTAATTTTACCTTGAGTTGGTTTCACGAGCTTGATTCGTTTAACATTGCACATTCTACGTCTTGAGAGCCTCTTTTTGTGAACAGTTCCTACATAGTATGGGTCCTCCAAACGGAATACGGATTTTTACGGAATTTTCAATTATCTGGATCTGATACAAAATTTAATTACACTTTGAGAGAATTTTCTTCACATTGAAATCTGGCGCAGTCTTTGTTCGGAGAAGAAGACTACTGCCGGCGTGTGCTTGAATAAATTTAGAAAGCATTTATGTTGTTACTCCCTACGTTGAGGGAGTGAGATCTTCAGCTGATAGCCTCTAGATGGAAGCGATGAGCAGTTCAACTTGCTTCTTGTTTCAGTTGCAACCGTGAATCACCAAATATTTCTAGGATGGTCTGACCACACGGTTTTATTTTCTTCGTTTTCAGCACTTGGGCTTCTTGTTTCTATTTTTATTGTGTTTCTTAGCCCTTTCCTGCTGTTGTGAAATGAACCGTTTTTTCGTTCATTCTTTACTGTATCCTACTTAGCGTTGACTCACACCAGAATAAATGAGTACAAGGCACGAGGTAGATGAAGTACATCATTTCATTCTAGAGTCATGCTTGTCATCTCGAAATTTGGAGTAGCAATGGTAATACATCTCAGATACACCAGTTTTCATTTCTGTCGTCTGGCACATACAGCGTCGTCAAGTATCATGAAATTCATGACTCGAGATTGAAAGGTCACATCTGTTCAAAATTGCACAGCATATTCTCTTTAGCTTCTACAGAGGACTGTGTCTAGCTCTCTTTCACACCAACAGAGGCAGGCCGAGATAATTCGCAGTATGCAATTTATATGAGTTCAAGTTTGTCATGAGTATCGTTTTATTTACGTAATTATGGATGTATGCAAAAGACATAGGTGCCTTAAGGAGGACGTAATCAGAGTGTCATGACTTCCTGATTCAGCTGTTCTACAACTGTTATCAGTTCCGTGTATAGTTGCTTGAGTAATTCTTTTGACAGCATATTGTCCACGTAATTATCATGATTTCTACGAAACACAATAGTGCTTGACAGATTGTTGTATTTCGCAGGCCAACCCTGTGAAGTATAGAAACATTTGGTCAGGTTTTGGAATCGTGTGGAAGGAGCAGGGATTGCCAGGTTTGTGGAGAGGGTGGGGAGGAAAATTATTCGGATACAGTGCTCAGGGTGCTTGTAAGTTCGGATTATACGAATATTTTAAAAAATCGTATTGTGACTTGGCCGGACCAGTCAACAGTTACTCCTACAAAACCCCTATATACCTGGCGGCGAGCTCTTCTGCTCAAGTAATAGCTGACATCGCTCTATGCCCGTTTGAGGCCATTAAAGTTCGCGTGCAGTCACAACCTGGATTTGGAAAAGGTTTGGCCGATGGGTTTCCAAAAGTGTACAGATCGGAAGGGATAAGAGGGTACGTTCTCATTACAACAATGCTTAACAATTGACGTTTAATCAGTCTATATGTTCTACAACGTTTAGCACACATTTTCCTGTTTATTCTGTAGCAGATTCCGAGGTCATACCTTTCGACATGATCTCAATGTGGATGTCATGTTAAGACCAATGGTCTTGTTTATGATTCTGTGTTTTTTCATATTTCTATGAGTTGATATATTTCCCCTAAATTTCACCCTCGGACAGATAAAGAGTTTCAACTCTGTTCTTGAACTTGCATTGATTGCTACACTCTCATCTCACAATACTGATGTCCACTGTGGTTTCATGTGTTTCTTGCAGGTTCTACAAAGGACTTATGCCTCTATGGGGTCGAAATGTTCCATGTAAAGTGACTTTCCTTCATCTGTTGATTTCTCGTCTTTCTCAGTAAAAATTGTGAACACTTGCAATCCACAATTTTTGCTTGTTTTTAATCTGCCTTTATAAGCTGGATGATGTGTGCAACTCTATTAAGAAAATTTGGTTGGAAATCATTCTCATCCCCAATCAGTTGTTTTTTTCTTCTTGAAGTTTTCAGATATTTGTAAGAAAATGAGTTTTTTTTCCTAGTCTGTTACGAAATATTTGTTGGAATTCATTCACAAATCAATCAGTTTTTATCCTAAACTTTCATCAGATCTTTGTAAGAACCGAGCTCCTTCTCAAACCTAGCTTGTATACACTGTAGCTCTGAGGTTTTTTTCCAACCAAAACTGCCAAATATATGGTGGACTTGTGAAAGGTCACATTAATCGTATTTAAAAAGTTTTCTTGGTTTCAAGCTTTTTTCTTCGTTTTGATCAGTGTCGAGGTTATTAAATCTATGTAGTTTGTATAATCCTATCAATATGTCGTTTATGTCGTTCAGGTTCTATGAAGTGTTGTTTGAATCATTCCTAGGCAACAGAATCTTGTTGGATCAGAGGGAACTGGGAAATGTTGTATATATACTAAATGTTCATCAATTTACTGAGAATTTAGTCTTCTTCAATTTCGCAATTAATTTTTATTTAAAGTTTTAGAAAGGCTAGTCGGAAGATATGATATGAACTCGAAAGACGTGTATATGAAATTGATGTTTGCATCATAAAAGACTGCATCTCTTTTAAACTGTTGCCTATGAGAACTTTTTATACTGTTGATGAGGTTGTCAAGAGCTACTGTCAGCAGTCGCCCTCTTCAAATAGGATTGAAACATTTACAAGTTTTGAGTCTGAAGAATTGCTGGCTAGACCTTGTTTCTTGTTGACAGTTTCCTATGCGAGACCTCAGTTTTTTAGGTGGCTCACAACGTACTGGTGTTACACTTCAGGATTCTTTTCTTGCAATTCCGATCAGTTTTATATCAATCTTTGTACAAAAAGTCGTTCTCATCGTGCAGTTAGTAAGAAAAATGAGTAAAGTCGTAACAATGGTCTCGATTTGTAGAAAGCAATCGATGAAGTTGGAGCATTAGTTGCTCCAGACTGACTTGAAATTTGCTACAGTGTGGTTCCTGTTTGGCGAATGAATCCTTAGCCAGTTAGAGAACTACATAACAGTAATGTAATTTTTTCTGTTTTCCATTCTGGAAATTTAAATGGCACAATTCATCATCAGTCTCTCGCCCGCGCGACGACTACAATTTTAAACCATGACGTTTTTCATTCGCACGTAGAAGCGGGACACATTTGAGATCATAATGTGGCTGGAGGGGAATATTCGAAGTCAAATCTAATAGTCGTATTCTGTTTTGCAGTTGCCATGCTACTTTTTTCATCGTTTGAACACTCAGTGGACTTCATTTATAGTCAAGTTCTACAAAGACGCAAGCTGGAATGTCCACGAGGAGTTCAACTGGGAGTAACGTGTGTAGCAGGGTATGTGTCTGGGGTAGCCGGCACAATTGTGTCAAATCCAGCGGATAATATCATCACCCATATGTACAATAACAAGGGTGCAACATTTTCACAGGTACATTCTTTACTCCTCTCCCAGGTTACTGGCATATCTGGGCATTAATCACAAATTGCTTGTCAAGCTTGCACGAGGAACGAGTTGTACTGATTGATATCTCTTACTCGCCCGCTTTATTTGGACTTTACGCTAAAGAACTATATTGTTCCATAATCTGATGAGTAGACGCGAACTTGACTGGCGGACTCAAAAAAATGGATAGACTATCGTCTTGCCACACTTTCTAGTGTTTTTTCTTCCAGAGCATTGACTCCCTGAAAAGAGCTGAAGTAAGGAAAGTTGTAATTTATCGACTCATGTTACATGTCTAAGTTTTCATAAAAAGCCCAAAGTTGCTGCTCGTTTAAGTTAAATCTTTGGAGGCAGCTTAAGCACATGTGGATGAGGGAATGACGGGTGTTCGGTCGACAATTCGAAGCTCCTGACTAAAATCATTTTTTGCTGAGGTCTTTTAGAGAAACCCTCTTGAATTTCATGTAGTATATCATACTTACTTTCAACTCCTCCTTCACGGTTCATACCCTACCAGCACTGCTCATCCACAGCCGAGGGCTATGGTCCTCGGGCTATGAGAGGCAAATATCACGGAGTGCAGTTCGATTAGTAAATTTTCACTGTATGTACTTGTCAGTTATTTGTATGAACCGTCGGCTCAATTTGGGTTACAGTCATCTGCAAGATGTATCCACTTTGAGTTGTCAAAAAGTGGAAGTTCAGATGGGAAATTATCTTGTCGGGAATGTGAACATTGATCATGCCTAAAACTTCTTTCCATCGGTTTTGCAGTCAATCAAGAGCATAGGATGGGTAGGGCTTTTCACGAGAAGCTTACCCTTACGTATAATGCTTGTCGGGCCCATAGTGACCACACAATGGTTTGCCTTCGATTTACTGAAGGTGTCATTAGGCTTGTAAGTTTGCGCGCATTCACTACACTCGTTTTTGTCGAATTGGTAGGAAATTTAGCTTCCTTTCGCTTTTTCTGCCTTGATTCTAAAGTGTGACCTTGTGGATCTGATGACGCAAGTTCACGCTTACAGCTCTCGTTCTTAGGACAAATTTGTAACTCTTACAAAATCACTGAATTCTTGTCGTATGATGACAAATGATGTGTATGAATAAGATGAAAGTCGTTGTCTGCTTTGTGTGCTGGGCTTATGATATCTCGTCATTTTGTGTTGCCAGGCCAACTAGTGGAGGAATGGATCAGCATGTATCGTACATAAAGTCAAGAACCATGGATCAAGCTCCGATTGGAAACGCGGAGGGACTGTAATCTGCATATGTACGCACACAAATTTATAGATATATTGTCAGCCCCACCTTGCCCTATAGTATCGACTCATCATGAAGAGTCTACACATGTAATGCGTGAGGATAACACTCCGCAGAGTCGGAGCCGATCGGTCATTATTAGTTACATCAACTCAGACGCATATAATTAAATTTTGTTAGATTTTCCTACTCGAGTGTAGCTAACGATTCATGTTGTAGGCACAGTTCCACAAATTCAGACGTAGTTGCAAGAATCTGCTATGAGTATTTACGTCAGTTTATAGATACTTGTACGCAAAGTAGCAGCCGGTGTAGATATGGTGATGACATGGTGCTGATGGTTTTCCAGCCGATTGTCAGTCCAAATTTGGGTTATGGAATTCAGTACGTTAAGGTGTCCGTAAAAATGTCTTTGTCTTGAATATGTTTTTGTTCGATTTCCACGCAATGATCGCGAATGACGTTTGGTTCGAAGTAGGCCTTGACGCTATTTCGTGTATCTTACACCTTGTTCACATATACTGCATTCTGGTAATTCCCTCTTCACTTTCCGTTAACCTTTTTTCTCTGCGAGTTGTTGCATTTGCTACGTCTGAAGTCACAGGAATATCGACACCCTACACCACCCCACTAGCAGTCATCGGTAAACCTCTGTCTGCTATCTCATTACAGTTGCGGACACTTTGGACTACGCCCAGGTTGAGATCCACAGTGTCCAGTACCATTGCCTTCGGCGGTATCTATCCTAGATGCTTCGACCACAAAGTGAGGGATTGTCCTGATTCCAAATGTTTTTCCACCATCGAGTTCTAGCCATGTACACGTCAAGGAGAAAGACAAAAGTTGCTAGGAAGGCTGTGTGGGGCTCGGAAGGTACACTGCTGTGCGAAAGTGAATGCACAACGTCTAGTTGCTGGGTTTGGGGTGAAACTGTGACGAATGCATGTTTGTCCAAATCAAGGGGAACTACAACTCAGATGTCGATGGATGTCAATACGCCTGCTGTCGATGGACAATACCAACAGCGGTTTTCACTCTTGTACCTTACTGAAACCTCACATACGAACGCAGCTGTGCAAGTCGAACTGTAAGAACACCGAGCGATGCGTTTGAACCCGAGTAAGCTCAAGGCAACATCCTCTCGTGAGCATCATTTGCTGCAAAGATGATGCTCTCGTATCACGTGTGCGTGGAGGACGTCCAAGGTCTCGATGAGGGCCACATTACAGTCAGCGGTGATCAGAACGATCCACCTCCTCGTATCATCAGATCAAATTCTATTGGTTCACGCCGTCACGATCTCTGTTGATTCTCGACCTGACTGACAAAAATTATGTGCTTCAGCAGAACAGAACTTAGTACAGCAGTCGATATTTGACAACTGGGTCCGAGTGGTGAATCCTATGAACAACGCTTGCTTCAGATTCTTAGACTGATAATAATGTGGGTGACATGAATACGCTCCGATGGAGTTGGAAACACTGACTTCTCACACGTTCGTAAATGTGGAGGCCGAGGGCGAGGAAGAACGATCACTGTGATAGCAAGAATCTACAATGATTGACATTCATCGTCCCCAAAACTGTTGTCGTTTGTCAGAATCTTCACCTTCACCTTCATCTCAGCTTTACAAGGTCAACGTTTGCAAGCTTCAAAACCAGATCTACAGAAGATGGATGATGCACCATCACCACCCACAGAAGAAGAGCAGCATGTGTACATTTCCACAACGCTGGATAAGGTCCGATTTCAGTGAAGGAATGGTTCTGTAGCCGATGATGATGATAATGAGGAGGAGGAGGAGGTGGCGGAAGAGGTCGGTCAGAAAAAGGTTGACACAAAAGGTCAGATAGAGGCAGTCTTTCGTGGTAAACAATTTGACCAAATAGAGGCTACCGACTCGGTCACATGCTCATGAAGACGGGCCCAAATCACACCACGCCATGCCAATCATCGGGGCACTGTGCAAGCAGTAGGGTGGACAGACGTGGATGCAAGTCGCTTCCTTCATAAAGTTTGCCTCGAGAAGTGCGTGAGGTATAAGGCCGCCCGCAGGTTACTACTGATCCTCGGATCAGCCATCGAAAGGAGAAGTGGAGCACGGAAATGATTGTCTAGTCTCAGTCACCGCAACCACTGTACGTACCGACCGACCTTCGTCTCGCCCTCGCCCCCGGTCAAGCAAAGCACTGTTGTGTGGGAGGGATGCTGGCTGTGGAGATCGCTGCCTTGATTGGGCAGTGATCTGGGGTCACTGTGATGAAGAGGTGGGCGGAGGGAGGCATTGAGATATGAAGGTCGGTCACCGGATCAGACCGGAAGAACACGAGAGAGAGGAGATTACTGTCGCATCGCTCGGCCTGCGCTGGCTGACTCGGAATTTCGTCACTATCGAATATTACAAATTGCACTTTGCGGCTCGTGCAACAGAAGAAGGCCATGCAGAGAGAGAGGAGGCCTTTTCGATCGTTCGTAATCCGAAGCTAGATTCTGCGCCTCAGCAGGCCATGAATCTGGGTACGCAACGACAGATAGATAGTAGGTGAGGTGGTGCACGAGGCGAGAGGGTGAGTGAGCGAGTGAGAAGGGAGCTGAGGTAGCACGAGCATGAAGCCCTCCCTCGCATCCCTCCCCTTCCTTCCTCCCTCCCTCCCTCCCTTCTGGCATGGCATGCATGGACCGGCTACGCCAGCTCGTGCTTAAGCATTGACTGGCTATGCAGTTGAGCGAGATCGCGTTCAGACCTCGTCAATCGTCATTAATTAGGCGAGGCTCCGAGCTCACATTTACAGAATGGAGTGGAGTTGAGTGGAGTGGTGCATGGGCCTACTTTGCTTTACTTTGCTCGTAAAGGCTGAGAATATCAGATAGCTGACGAAAAGGTCCTCGGAACTAGTTTATACTAGCGCTACAGGGTCAGTCGTCTATAGGCGCATGAGATCTCGTGCTCACTTGCTCTTAGGACTGGCTTACGATTTTCACTCGCAGGAATCCACATGCCGGTGAAGTCATGGCCATGGTGATGTCATGTTTCTCAGCGAGCTAAAGTTGAAATCGGTGCTCGGTAGATACGGTTTGTACATACGAAGTACACGATCAGGATACCTTGAGCTCGATTCACACACGAGACGTAAACGCTTTGAGACTGGGAGTCCTGTCGACGATTCAGTATCGCCATGGAATTCAGAGTCCCATCGTCAGGCGGTGACTGGAGTTACAATGCCACAAGTTAGAAGGCAGTCTACAAGAAGTGACAAGTGTCGCAAAGTCTGAGAGCTCGATGCCAGCCAGCCAGCGAGCCAGCCAGCAGTTGGCCCTCGGCCCAATTATGCTTCGGATTTATTATGTCTGACTGGCCTTTATCGATGCTCGGGTGGGCGGATTCCCGAACTCAATTTCCAGCTCGAAGCGAGCAAGACGACGTGAAATTGTTGTCTGCTTGTGGTCAGAGTGTAACCGAGCGAGGTATCAGATCTCGAAGAATGTCGCAGCAAGACTTACTGCCCGCCGTAAAAATGAATGTGCACACTGCGCATGTGCACCCAGTGACTGAGCCCAGGTTTGACGGGAACCAGATTGAAGATCACACCTCGGAAAACAAATTCTTCCTGCTGACTAATCCTGAGTTTTGAACCACAAAGGTTGAGAGCAACCCCCAGCCCAGCCAGCCAGCCAGTCCCGTGAGACTCGTTTTCAGAAGACGGGAATAGAGGAGATCACGGGACCGAATTTGACTAATTCCTCCACGAAGATCTTAAAATGTGGACCCTCCATCATCGTAATTTCACGGTGAGAGCTCCATAACTGCAAATAGTGCAGGGGGTTGAGTCTGTTTTACAATCTTTGGCTCGAGCTCGAGTTGTTTTTCTGCTCGAATTTAGTCTTCTGGTACGTGCCCAGCGTCGAGCAGAAAAGCAGTTGAGAGCCGGGGACACATAAAGAGGTGGCATTCCGAGAGCACCAGACAGAAGATGAGAACGAATTGATGATGATGAACGTAGAGCTCTGGAGTCCAACGATCTCTAACTAGACGAGGCTTCAATAAGCGGATAATGAATGGATAATGGATGCGAGGTAGTGATTGGATGTAAATGCATTCACTCAATAAATCGGAGGATATTTCCGATGCCGAACAGCCAGCGAGTGAGCGAGTGAGTGGGTCCAAAGTGCTCTTCTTCGCTAACAGAATCATCTTGTCATTATTTGCAAACAAACCTGGCGATCAGCGAGCATTCAGAATTGTCATCCACACTTCTGAATGTCCATGTCGTAAGCCACAGCTCAACGGACAAAATAATCAGGCACAGACACACAGAGTACAGAGATCGATGCATAACAGTGCATCGATCTTTTAGCCACGGGGTCTAAAGTTATGCTGCGCTTCCAGCTCAACGAGACGCTCTTCATGAGCAGATGGTATCAGGTCTGAATTTAAGTGGAGATGAGAACAGACGAGAGAGAGAGAGAGAGAGATAGAGAGATGAAATTGGTCGATCGAATTCGGGGACCGTTTCGAACAACTACAAACAAACAAAGTCACCAGCGCGATAAGAGCCGACCGGAGAGTGGCAACACGCACAAGAGAGGGAGAGAGAAAGATAGAGAGACGGCCGGCATTATGAACCATAATTGCAAACTCCTGTTCAGTTCAGTTCTGTTCCGTTCCGATCTTCTCTCAGCTCCATGTCGAATATTATTATATACACGAAGCCTCTTGATTCTCGTGAACGTCGTCAGTACGACCGAGGCCAGCGAGCCAGCCAGCCAGCAGCGTCTTCTTGTGACACAGCCAAGACCATCGACAGCGTTTGCAATTGTGAATTTTACACCCAGTCTCATGGACAGGGATCCAGCACCCGGACATCAAACAGTAGTACTTCAGATATGATCAGAGACGTGTTCCATGCTTTTCAAAATCTGTCAGCTCGATTGCGTCTTGCCCCCCCACCCCAACACTCCTCGTCTCTTGTTGACTACAATAGTTTGCGTACGGTAACCGTGTTGCCCACAGGAGGAGGCCATTCCAACCGTGCTTCTTGAAATGCGCGAGTTTTAAGTATGCCAGACAGAGTCTGCTGCAGATGCCAGCCAGGGCAGAGCGAGCTCTGAGAGCAGCAGAAAAGATGTAAGCCGACGAGCCAAACATATTCACGAACCCAGCTCCACGAGTCAACGAAGACTTTGCGAATCTTCACAATTATGAGTATCAGAATCAGTTTAGCTCAACCGGTGGTAGCAGTAGAAGTAGTTTTCTTAGGAGTCGTAGAAGTATGTATTACTGATTCATCGACAACATCAACATTGTCCGTCCTGAAGCTGCTTCGGGTTTCAAAGGGTGCGCACTCTCTCCTCAGTATCCTATCCATCCCAGCCTTGTCAGATCCACGGACTGCTCACATGAATGAAATCACAGACATCTGATCTTTTCTTATCTTAAGCCCCGGGGCCTCCTGTCAAACTGTTC